ATTGATCGAGATGGCAACGGATTCATTGATATGTCAGAGCTCAAATCTGCTCTCGAGATTGTGGGCTTCAAGCTTCCTCAGTGGCAAGTACGTAAGATGATTGAGGACTGGGACAAGAGCACCAACGGACCCGGCAAAGGAAAACTCAGCTTCGACGAGTTCCAGAATGTAAGTCCGTTTATGAAATAGTGAGCTGCAGAATGCAAGGTTATCAAGCATTCCTGATTTATACAGATACAGATGTTAATACAAATATAATTAAGCCCAAACAATGGGATAATACTGCACTGTATTATATAACATGTTGTTAGAGGCCTTTCATTAGTATGGTAAAGTTGCCAGCTTTATAATGTATAAAGTATTAAACGTAATTAAAAAATGATTTTGATTAAAATAAAGATTTGAGTAAAATTTTAAAATTTAGACAATTAAAATGATCATTTGGTTATCTTGTTTATTAGATGTGTGCTGGCTTGAAGGCTCAAGACATTGCCAGCTCATTTAAAAAAATGGTGAACAAACGTGAAAACCTCGAAACGCTGGGAGGCATGTCAACGGCATCCTCAGAAGGCACTACCCACTCTGTTCGTCTTGAGGAACAGTTGGCATTCTCTGACTGGATAAACTCCAACCTTGGGCATGATCCTCATCTGAAACATCTTCTACCCATTGATGGGGAGGGCCGCTACCTGTATGATAAGGTCAAGGATGGCATTCTTCTCTGGTAAGTTATATTTCGCAAGCATACCTTACCTACCTTGTTGTACTTATGAGCATCAACATTCTCCAGGGTCCGATCTCTGACCAGGCCGGTCAAGGAGCCGGTCGGCCGAACGGACAGCATGCTGGATTTGTGATTCTGTGGTCCTGGGTTCGATCCCGGGCGCCGGCGAGAAACAATGGGCAGAGTTTCTTTCACCCTATGTCCCTGTTACCTAGCAGTAAAATAGGTACCTGGGTGTTAGTCAGCTGTCACGGGCTGCTTCCTGGGGGTGGAGGCCTGATCGAGGACCGGGCCGCGGGGACACTATAATGCCCCGAAATCATCTCAAGATAACCTCAAGATAAGAAGGCCTCCTTGTTGATTGTCTGGTCAACCAGGCTGGTGGATGCAGCTGCTTGCAGCCTGACAGATGAATCACAGCCTGGTTGATCAGATATATATATTATTGTGTTGCATTATGCATGTGCTGCATTTATTAGGACTCTGAGCCATTACGATTTTGATTCAAGTTTTCTTGATCTTCATATGTCTTGCATATTCCCTGTAGCAATATAATATATTGGTTCATCATACTGTGCTCTTCTCTTGAACTTTTTTAATTTTGTTACATGAAATAGATTTAGATTTTATAAATTTTTAACTCTTAAGAGGACTAAGTGGCACAGCACTGTACAGTATTTTCTTTATGCACATCTCTGAGGACAAAAATTGATATTTCATTTCATTTAATTTCAGCAAAGTGATCAATCATTCATGCCCAGACACCATCGACGAGAGAGCAATAAACACGAGGAACCTGACACTGTACACTAAGCACGAGAACCTTACCCTGGCACTAAGCTCTGCTCAGGCCATTGGCTGCAATGTTGTCAATATTGATGCTCATGACTTGGCCAAAGGTGAGAAATGCTCAATAAGGATTTATTTTTGCTATGTCCAGTGTCTGAATTTTTGTTCTTCTTTGAAAAGGTGAAAAATTTGAAGTATGGGAGTAGGAATATCACATGTTCTGCAGATGTTTTATGAGTCGTACCAAAACATAACACATTGTACCTGATTTGCCTTGTCAGTTGGTGGGTCATGTCTAATTCACAATTAAGTTAACTTGTTTTCATTCTATGAAACTTGTTTTTTTGGTTCACAGTAATCTATACTTTTACGGTATTTATAATGTTTTACATTTCCTTACCTATCAGCAACTATGGGGGAATGAGATCTTTATGCTCTGCTTCCTTGTCATTTATACGTAACTGTTTATAGGTGTGTGCACAAAAGTCTTTGTATGTCCCTGTCTTTTTTTTTTTAGGCCTGATGATTCTGTTAAATGCTATTATTACACCTAAGCCACAGCTGTGACTTAGGTGCATTATCTAGGGACATAGGTGTTTATTGCAATGTTCAGTTTTTTTTTGGTTGTCTCCTAACTGTATGCAAGCTGGAAAAATATTGCATGGCATTTTATCTTGATTAATACATTTATTGAATAAAATAATGCAGAAATATTTTTTTCTGAAACAGGCAAACCTCACTTGGTGTTGGGGCTGTTGTGGCAGATTATCCGCATTGGGTTGTTCAACCAGATTACCCTGGAACATTGCCCAGGTCTTGCAAACCTGCTGGAAGATGGAGAGAAGATTGAGGAGCTGATGAAACTCTCTCCAGAAGCTATACTTCTACGATGGGTTAACCACCACCTGGAGCGTGCAGGTGTTAACAGGTATGTCACTTCCGATTTAATACTTGTTAAGCAAACTTCTGTTTAGCAGAGAATAAGTCACAATAATGTGGCTAAAAATGAGTAACCCAATCCACGCTTATGAACAGAGAGGAAAATGAACAATGTTTTGGTCTGTCCAGAGTGGACCAAACTATCATCACTTTCCTTTCTTTTCATATATGTGGGTTGGGTTACTTTTTACTCTAGTTATTTCCTAATTGAGCTCATTCTTCCCCAGTTATGTCTTTAAATTAACAAGTAAGTTCACAGCATTGAGTTCTGTTGTATGCTTAAAATGCACATCTATTTCCTTACGTGATTCTGAGGGTGTCTTTGCAGGATCGTTATTAGATATATAAAGACGTTTATTCATTTCCACAGACGATGCACGAACTTCATGAGTGACATCAAGGATTCCGAGATCTATTCTCACTTGCTGAAGCAGATTGGACCTAATGATGCTGGTGTTACCATGGAGGCACTCTCTGTAAGTTGGCGGCTCTTATTTTTCAGTTTTATTATATATTATTTACTTGATAATTTCTTCATGTCTATAATATCTTATTTATTTTTAGGTATTTGGTACACGAATAAAGTATTGTAGTGATATAAGAGAGCACTCTATAAACATGTATATTTTAACATTTTGATAATTGTATAAATATTAATTGAGTGTCATTTAAGGCCTGTCGCGATACATCCATTTGAATTTTAACTCTATTAAATTCTCCAGGAACAAGATTTAATAGCAAGAGCAGAGATCATGTTGCAACAGGCAGAGAAACTGGGCTGCCGCAGCTTCCTCACTCCACACGATGTAGTGGAGGGAGTCTATAAGCTGAACGTGGCGTTTGTCGCAAACCTCTTCAACAACCACCCTGGGTTGGATAAACCTGAAAATATTGACTTTGAAGGTCTTGACCACATTGAAGAGACAAGAGAAGAGAAGAGTACGTGTTGATAGAGATTGGCAAATACTGTATGCCATAAGCGTAATGTTTCATAAATATCTAATTCAATGTAGGAGTCTTGTAGATGCATTCCACTGAAATCTTGAGTCCTGTTAATTTGTTTAACATTTTTCAATCTAAATTCCTTTTTAGTATAATACTGTATTATTAAATTAGCTAAGAATTTTATATCTTGGCAAATGGTTCAGGAAATGTTACTAAAAGTATACAGTGCCGTATATACAAATTCTATTTGTTACAGCTTACCGCAACTGGATGAACAGTATGGGTGTCAACCCTCATGTTAACTGGTTGTACTCCGACCTCGCTGACGGCATCATCATTTTCCAGCTGTATGACATCATTAGACCTGGTGTTGTTGACTGGAAGCGCGTCCACAGGTAAATGTTGTTGCTCACTTGAAAAGTACTTCGGTTATTTATTGGTGTTCGTAACTATTATTTTCTTCAGCTGCTGCAATTTTTTGTGTTCATTGGTTTGTAAATGCATTGTTTATCTATAACTTTGTTTCATTAGTTTTCTATCCATTCCAAGTACTGTAAATGCTTCTGTTCAAAACACTCTTCTAGATGTTTTTTTTTTTTTTTAATATTTTTTGTTTCTTCTGGAAAGTGTTAGTATCTTGTGAAGAATTCTTAGTATTGACTTGAAATTTAAAGTACTGTAATTTAGTTTAAGAACAAAATTAAGTGCAGAGGTAAATGAAAAGCCCGTATCTTAGTAGCTCTTCTTGGCCTTATGTAATGAACATGGAACAAGATATATTACTGTACCTCCACCTCTGAGGTACTCATCCCCAGGGGTATAAGTTTCCATGCAATTTGTCTTGTGACTATAAATGGGGCGGTGAGTTCGGTGGAGAGCATTATTTGATCTGCCATAAAATAAACTCACTATTTTATTGTTGTCGCTCACTCTTTTTTTTCATTAAAATATTTTTGCTTACAGTAAGTTCAGCAAGCTCAAGAAGTTTATGGAGAAGCTTGAAAACTGCAATTATGCAGTTGAGCTTGGCAAACAGCTGAAATTCAGTCTGGTGGGTATTGCCGGACAAGATTTGGCTGATGGAAATCCAACACTGACTTTAGGTAAGTTGCCATCTTTTCTGTTAAAAATGGTCTTGTTAATTATCATCGAAAATGCAATAAATAAATTTGCATTTATAGACACAAGCAAATGTATTCAATAATAAATATTAGAAAAGATGATACTGTAGTTATTACTGCCATCTTGTATCTATAAATTCAAGTTTATTGCTTTTTTAGATGATAACTAAGAAGAACATTTTGAACAGGTAGGAATGCACCTGATCAATTGGGCTGTTGTTACAAAGCGACTGACATTACACACTAAACGCCATGTAACGTCTTGTCACTTTTGTCCAACAGTACCCACCGGATATACTCGTCAAAACCCCAGTACACAACTGGAAATTGGTTTTACCATTGTGAGATTTCATGCACCTTCTTACAGTATTTATTTTCTTCAAACTATCTTCATTGTCAGTGGTGTCTTTTGTTTAAAAATGTTGGTTTGTAAATTTAAATCCTGGATTTAAAGTACAGCAGAATCTATATATTGAACTCTAGTATATTTGCAAATAGAATTCCAGTGTTTATTCCCTTGCTATCTTCAGAAACAGTATAAGTTGCAAGGAATGCAATGACAAAAATATGAATGCCATGACTCTGAGATGGTTTTGGATAAAAATACTTAGAATCCAAATCCTATTGTGATCATATAGATTCAAAATATGATTGTGAGAATGCAATACTGTACAGTACTTATATGATGACTAACAAGCCTTGTACTTCTGCGTTTCAGCATTGATCTGGCAGTTGATGAGGGCGTACACTTTGTCCATCCTGACGCAGTTAGCAGACTCCGGCAGTCCTATTGTGGAAGCCGAGATAATCACGTGGGTCAACACCAAGCTAAAAGAGGCTGGCAAGTCTTCAGGCATCAGAAGTTTCCAGGACTCTAGTCTCCAGAATGCCCTAGCCATTATCGACCTTGTTGATGCCATCAAGCCCGGCACCATCAATTATGATGTTATAAAGATGACAGGCGAAGCAGAGGTATGTTGCTAGTGTAGCTTTGCTGTTGTCAGGTTAGTTCTAGATGGTGTCACTTGCAGTACACAATTAGGGGAATTTGGACAATGGATGCTTTGCCCTCTTATTTGGAGAAGTTGAAAGTTCACTAAGGATAATAACAAATGAGCAATAAAGTGCAATAGGCTATTTGTTCTGTTTTTCATTCGTTTCAGTTGATGTATCTACCTAATGGATAGATCTTGTGACGTGTCTGCTTATGTGCAGAACATTGTCAATTGGACACACACGCACATAGTTTTCCCTTTTTTTATATTTGGCCTGTCATTCTTGTCTTATTTGTTCACCAGTGTGACTTTATCAACCTTCGAGTATAGGAGGTGCCGAGCATGGTCCAGCCTTTAGAAGAATGGAGAGAAATAGTGATCAAAGGTCATAGTTATAACATATTTAGTAATGAGGGAAAACAAGAAATAAAACCTATAATAATAGTGAATAAGGAGCTTAGATGAAAATTAAAATTTGACTGAAGATTGTAGGCCATGTTGAAAAGAAGTTATCAATTGCAACTAGGTTATTGGTGGTGATAAAGGTAACAGAGACTCCATTCACCTCACAGAGATATTAATGATGTACAGGAGGTAATGTTAACTGGTGAGCGAATGACAAATTGGTGGAGAGAGTTCTTTAGAAATCTGACATTTCTCTTTCTCTAATTTAATTTAAATAAGCACGATGAACATAGATATAAAAATATATAAAATACGTTACCCTGACATTGAGCCATTGGCATCAATGAGTATTTAACAAGGGATCCATATTTGGGATACTTTAATTTTGTCATGTTTATTATCCTCCCTTTCAGTATCTAGAATGCCTCATTGGTTTTGCTTAAAATTACTGACATTTATTGATGTTGATAATACTAAGGTTCCTTTTGTTATTTGGCAGTGTATTCCATTGATAGTACAGTAATCCCTTTTTAGCATTAATACGAATTTTTGCCACATCTGCATTGCCCAATATCAAACGGAGCCTTGGCTTTATCCTAATGGGTAAGTATATACAGCACATATTGCAAGAAGTGAGAACGTAATATTTTTGATGACTACTGCATTCATAACATAATTCCCTTTGACCAACTACACTCACAATATCTATTTGCCTGTGTCAAATTTTTTTTTTTTTTAAATGATTTGCAGTTTAAAAAAGATTGTTCTGTATAAAATGCTCACTTGTGCAGCAGGTTATGTCATCCACTGCACCAAATTCAGTTTAAAACAAGAATACAGTACAATCAATAACTGCTAATGCCAGTCTCTTCACACTAGTGTTACTTTGAGACATGCATACAGTATTATCGTTCAGAAGTTTTAAGCCTGGCATCAAGCTGGGCTTGGTGCTACATAGCCTTCCCGGCGTGGCGCCTTCTTTTGATAATTACTTACTTATTTCAAGCTCGGCTGCAAGAGTAGAAATATTCGTGAAACTGCTCACACATACATTGTTGGTTTGTGTGTGAGAAGTTTCACACATTTGTTCCCTAGCAATGTTGGGTTGTCAGAAAGTTTATAAAAATACTGTACTGTATACACTTTGAAGACACCCATATTTAGCATGTTTCTTCAAACATATCTCTGTTAAGTGTTATTGTTTTTTGGCTTTATAATCAAAATCAAGTTTTATTCCACCAAAAAAAATTAAGCAGAAATGCTAATTAAATGAAATTTACCAATATATATATATATATGCAAGTAGAGTATTACTAATGCTATACTCTTGTTTCAGGATAATGTTGCCAATGCTAAATATGCCATTTCAATGGCACGAAAGATTGGTGCTCGCATCTACGCTTTGCCTGAAGACATCACAGAAGTCAAACCCAAGATGATTATGACCGTGTTTGCATGTCTTATGGCACGAGACTACATACCCAATATGGATACCAAAACTAACTAAAATAAGTGAAGAAGCAATAGCGCGTTTGGCAGATGTGTGTTGTGTGAATGATATGTAATGTTTCTTGATACTGTAATGTATAGACTTTTTATATAACAAAAAAATTCATTAAGCTTTGCTATTGCAACATTTCTTGGCTTTTAATGTGGAGAATTAGCATAGGGGCCCATATTCAGGACACATGCCTAAATGAAGCTATGTACTCGCGTGTTCCGCTGTGCCAACATATTTACTGTAATCCGTATCACCTGTGCTTTTGCGTCCACTTGGTGAATTTATACTAATGGGACTAATAAGGTGAATATTAATTTGATTTATATAAACACTTAAGAATGAAGACAATGCAGAAAATGCTTCACTTGGCTTGGAAAGCATTGTATTTTGAGTATTGCTTGATATAAGCATGCTGAATATGGGGATTATTTCCACTGTTCAGCATTTTCTAGACATGAAGCTGACATTATTTTCTACATTGCTAGAATAATATGCCATTACACAGTGACTTAGTACTGTAGTAATAGCAAAGATAATAGCTTCATTATACAGATATTGACAAGGCTTTATCCTTGGGTAGTTTTTTTAACATGACTTGTACATCAGTATTGTAAACACATTTTGAAAGTATTAATGTATTCAAATGATAAATGTTTTTTACATTAAAAGTTTTCAAAAGATTTGTTTAAATAAATTGAAACATAACAGGAGTTTTGGATTATAAAGCAAATGCTTTTTTGTTTTTTTTTGCTTTGCCTTTGCCAAATTCATTAAAATCTGCCTGTGTTGAATTTTGTATGTAAGACCGACACTGCCAGACTGCCTGCATTACTCTCTCCCAGACCAGTTTGCTTCGTATTACTTTGATCAACAAATAGTGGCATGTGCAAGCTGTGCGTCACTCGTACTCTCGTAAGAAAAGAGACTAAAATAAGTCGATATTCTATCATCTTGAGCTTTTCTTTCTTTTGACTGTGAGTTATGGTGGTTGTAAGCTGACAAAGTTTCATTTTACAATACTGTATAACACTGTGCTGTATTTTTTCTGTATTTTGTAAATCTTTTTGTTTTTATAGCTAAATCAAAGCCCCAACCTCAGAGTAACAATAGGACCTTTTACATGATTCATGTAGCAACACAAGGTTATATATAATTTTTATTATATATTTGTATGTATAAATATATATTTCAGGACACACATTCTGAAATGTTCTTTGTAAATAACCCGTTCATTGCTAGTTAACAGACCTTTTGAATATTAGGGCTGAACATTGAACTTCTTTTTAGAGTAGTTTTTCACCACCTGTAGGTACCTTTTTTTTGAACGAGGGCACCCGTAGTCAAACCAAGTTTGCTTTGTAATTTTAATGTGTTATGTAGTTAAAGTATATCATTTGTTTTATGTCATCAAATTGACTAGTTGTGCATTACTCTACTGGCATCGTGCAGGAATATTTTAGTTTATAAATAAGAAGGGAATTTTTTTTTTTCGAATCATTTGGGCCTTAGAATATAATAGAAATATATTTTTTCAAATGAATCTTTTATTTTATTGCCAGCTTAGTGAGGTACAATATTCAGGTATTAATGCTGTGGATATTAGAGAGAGAAATTTATAATTAGCAATATCCATGCAATTATTTATTTTTTTTTTTTTATATAATTAATATTGTCTTGTCATAATATGATTGTGTTTGCTTGTGGTGGTATCATGTGAGGGTGTAACTAGTTTGCTTCTCCATTTGAGCATGATTTGTTTGTTGTGTGGTGAAGATAATTACTGTTGTCAGTCTGTGTCGTGTTCATGGTATTCTTATTTTTATTGACAGTATATTTATGGGTCAGTATCATTGCAGATAAGAGTAGCCTTATTTTTGCTGGTGGTAAAACATAAATATTGTATTCTCAAACAGTGTACAGTATTGGTAAACAGTAGTGCAGTGAAAAATATTTGGTGTTTTAGTTCATTGGTAATTCTAATTTTGATTTCATTAAAATTTGGACACTTTTAATAACGTATATTAGCAGTCTTTACGATGAACAAATTTAAATTTGTGATCTAACTCGCAGTCACAATTTACTGAACAGGGATGAGATCTAGTGCGAGTTTTGCAATGGCTCAAATGTTTTAAATTAGAATTTAGGAGAAAATAAGATTTATGTGGAATCGGTGTTCATTGCACATTTTTTTGTTATTTATCGTGTTTATGGTGTTTGATGTTGTCTCTGGCATCAGTATTGGCCAGACGTCAACCTGTACTGCACCCACCTTAATGATTCTTGATGCATTTCTAGGGACCATTGTATGAGAAATGTTTTGTGTTTTCTTGATGCATTTCAAAATATTCATTCACATTTTTATGTGTGGTACTTATACATTAGACACTTATATTATGGGATAGACATTGGTATGCTAAAAATGTAACTTATTAATGCTAAACGTTCATATGCTAACTCAGAAAACAAGAAATTAATGATTTTGCTTCTGGACTTGAGTAATATTTTAACTTTTCATATAATTTTTTGCATATGTACATGTATGTTTGTGTCTATATTTATATTAGTTTCAGTGGATGTGTTCTAGAAACGTGCATAATTTGTCTTCCACAAAGAGTCGTGATTTAAGTGTTGGAGTAACTTCCAGTCTTGTGTGAATATCCACCATACATACAAATAATGCCATGTGCCAGTCTTTATATTCTTCTGAAGCATTACAGATCATTTTTTGCATTTACTTTGCCTGCCCCCCACACATTACGAGGGCAGTTATTTATATTGGGGTATATGCCAGGCTTTTTGAAGACTACAGGCAAAATGTGCCATTTCATAGCAGGATTGAATTCTGTGATGTTTTGTCAAGTAGGCAACACGTATTTTGACTTGTCTTCTGCCCTCCTGGATTTGCTCTATTGGGTCCAAATGGATAAAGGTTACATTCCAAAGACTTAAGCCAACCTGCTGGTCCTTAAGGCATTACATTTAACCAGCTTTTGTGAATGTCATTATTTATGCACCTATATTTGCTAAGTCACCAACTGGCCTTTTTTAAGTGCATTTACATTTACATTTTATCAAGCTATTACTGATATCTTGATAAAATCAATGAAAGTATCAAGATATCATTTTATCAAGATAATATCACATAAGATATCAGTCTTATTAAATGACTTGATTAGTCTTGTATGACTTCTTAATAAACCATGATGTTAAATGTCAGGAAATGTAAATTAAATATAATTATACAAAAACAGTTAAGATTTTACTAATATAGTGTTTTTTTTATACATAAAATCTTAAAAACTGACATTCCTAATGATTGCTAGAACTTTTAATATTCTGGATAATTAAATGGAGATTAATTGGGTCAAATCTGATCAAATCGACGGCACTTTATACTGTCTTCTTGTTATTGAAGGTGCTTTACGTTTAATATTTTAGACCTTAAGTATTGTTTAATATTTTTTCTCGTAAGTAGACAGAAGCAAAGTTCCCAATCATTTGAACTCAAATAAATTTATATGCGTTGTCAATTTTTGTCAATTTATAGTTTTTCTTGATTTTCACACGTGTTGTGAACTCTGGTGGTGAAGGATACCCGAAGGATGACCGAGGCTGGTTCCGTACGCGTCCCGGCGTGCCCCTGTATTATCCATTGTCTCGAGCACAACTGTATGCTAAATAGCAGTAAGGACTCTTCCACATTTGATAAAACAAAAAAAAAATAAACAAAATCAGTATTTATGATGCAACATTGCCAGTGGAGGATTTGATTTTGTATTATGAATCCAATTTATTCAAGCGAAAAAGAAATCACGTCATTGTAGTTGTGTAGCCAACAATTGGTTTTGCCAAAGATTATTTATTCAGTTTTATATAATGTTTTGCTTGTCTGAATATTTTTTTAATAACACCATTAAAGACGTACCATAATTTATTGTTTTGAAAAAAAAAAATATGGCATTTTACAAGCATAAATAATTTGTGACTTGGTGTATGAGACATTTGTTGGACTGACTTGAAAGTTATTGGTTAAAGAGTTTATTATTATTATTATTATTATTATTATTATTATTCCTTTAAATATTTGTGTAGCAGTAATCTGGCCGATTCATTAGTATGGCGATGATTCAATAATTTAATAACTGATTTATATAAACCAATTATTTTACACGATTTACATAAATTTAAATTGTAATTTTGTGTAAAATATTGAGTTAGCTTTATTAGGGTTGTCACTTGCCACACATTTCTAACACATGCTTTCTGTATTATGATTGCTATCCTTGCTGTACTGTACAAAGATTTTATTTTAATTTGAACCAAATAATTTCATAAATGATAAGATTATTAGTAAAATGTATTTTTTTATTTACCTAACTGAACAAAATAGTTTGCAATATTTTGGACATGCAAGACTGTACTGTAATTGAAGTTACAATACCATGTATTGATTCTGATCAACAATCTTCTCTCAACTCGTATATTGGCATCGAGAACGATAATTAAGAACATTTGAGTATTCTGCACCAATAGAGCGCAATACAGGTACAGTGTAGCCATACTGGCTTATTGGCTTGCTGATATTTGTGGTCAGGGTTCTCTTGTTAAGTATTAAAGTTAGGGGTTCATAATTATTAGTGTGTTTATCATTCTAATAGTAAATAGTGTGGTTAGGGTTTTAGTAGAAATTCGTGTGGTTAGAGTTCTATTACTAATTAGTGTGATCAGGTTTGTATTAGTGTGATGGTCAGGGTTGTATTGATAATTAGTATGATGGTTACGGTTGTATTGATAATTAGTGTGATGGTCAGGGTTGTATTGATAATTAGTGTGATGGTCAGGGTTGTATTGATAATTAGCATGATGGGCAGGGTTGTATTGATAATTAGTATGATGGTCAGGGTTGTATTGATAATTAGTGTGATGGGCAGGGTTGTATTGATAATTAGTGTAATGGTCAGGGTTGTATTGATAATTAGTCAGATGGGCAGGGTTGTATTGATAATTAGTGTGATGGTCAGGGTTGTATTGATAATTAGTCAGATGGGCAGGGTTGTATTGATAATTAGTCAGATGGTCAGGGTTGTATTGATAATTAGTCAGATGGTCAGGGTTGTATTGATAATTAGTCAGATGGTCAGGGTTGTATTGATAATTAGTGTGATGGTCAGGGTTGTATTCATATTTAGTGTGATGGTCAGAGTTGAATTGATAAAAGTGTTGGCATTCCCCGCACAAAAGAACAACAATTTCTGTTTTGTACATGAGAGAAATTTCCATCTAAGTGAATAATTTAATACAACCCCCCCACTGATGACGTCACAAGTTAGGTAGCCAGGCCATTTTAATATAACCTGTTATATCCTGCAATATTTAATTATCACTTTATTAACACTTAAATAATTAGTACTTCACTTTTTTAGGTAGATTAAAGTTAAAACAGAATGTCATAAGCTCTAAACAAAAATTATTTATTAAGTGGATGGCACCTTTAGCTGATCCCTTCGTGTGATTGGCTGTTAGGGTGAATGTCAACAAAGAGTTTCCACCAATGACATGGAAGCTCAGGAATTCTTACTTGAACACAACAACCCGCCTTATGAACTGCTGTTTGGCTATTGATAGTTCAACGTTGAGGCAGCAGATGTATGTATTATATATAATATATATAGTCAGTCCATTGGGTACTGGCCACTAGCCATTGGACCATTACAGTTGTGACCATTATCACACTCGACTTAATAATGGTCCAAGACGGACTGAAACGTCGTCGTCTCCTCATCTTCTGTCACTTCTAGCTCCATTAAACAGATTCGATGTTCGAAAAAGACTTTCTTGGCTGTAATATTAAGGTAAGAAAGATAATCAAATTATTCCCACTAGTAACAAATGTTAGGAAGTATTTGAGCGTAAAAGAAATACTTAATAAGCTAATCAACATGACAACACGTCTTAAATATTTAGCTAGTTTTTTCCTCTCAAAATACTATGGTCAGTTATCGGTAATTATTCCGGAATTAGGTAAGATAGACGAGAGAAATTTTCTATTTATTGCTGCCATTTATTATCAAATATGAAATGAAGAAAGGCTTAACCCAGTCTTAATTAACATTGCGTTACTTAACTTATACTTAAATAACCTAGCCTGGTCTTACCTTATCTAGTCTAACCTAACCTGGTCTTAAACAGCATTAACTAAACTAGCCTAACTTAACCTTATCTACTTGGTGCCTTTGATAATTACTTACTTAACCTTATCTAACCTAACCTTACCCAATTTAGCCTTTCCTAACTTAGCCTTACCAATCCGAACCTTCCATAATCAAACCAAGACTAACTTTGGCTTCCCCAACCTAGCCATACTTAACCTAACCAAATTGTACGTAACCTATCCGTGGCCTAACCAAGATTAACCAAAGCAAATCTAAACCCGATACCTCATAAAGGGCACTGAGTACCCCTTTTTTTGTGATCCGGTACAGATTGTAGAGTAGTTTATTCCGAAAGGAAAAGTGTTTAATTGTTGTACAGAGTAGGTACGTCTAGCTTAGACCTATGATTTAGGTAGAGCAATGTGGTGTATATCGTTCACTGACATACCAATGCAGCTGATCATACCAGTAATATACCAATTCATGTTACGGTGAAGCTATACTTTATAGGCCTAGTTACTAACAAGTATCTCTCTCAATTTTTTGGTTATTGTTAGAAATAACATATAACTCGAGCCTCCTTGGTTGACTGGGTACTCTTTGGGCGATTGGAACCTATTTTGGAAACTAGAATCTGCTTGGGTAGCTGGAACCTCCTTGGGTGGGCAGGAAGGGCCGAAAGTTCCATTTGGACAGCAGATTGGTGTCTCTGGAATCCTTCCTTACTGTAAGGCAATACGGGCTCACCATAGCCCGTGCTACTTGGAACTTTGTTCCAGGTAGCGAATCTTTAACAACATTCCTTATTGTGGGTGCTGGTGGCTCAGTGGGTAGAATTGCAGACTGCTGCTTGTGGTAGCCCATGAGGTTGTGTCTATATTGGCTTTGGGTTTTTGTCATTGTATGTTATTTTAAGGTGTCTACTTAATAGAAATATTAAGTCCTATTATCCCTAATGTTTTAGACCTACTGTTTCAAAAGTTGTAAAAACTATTTGTAATGAAAATCTAAAATAAAAAAAAGGAGTTGAATGATGCAATCTCGTGATGCCAAAAAGCGGGTTACAAGTGCAACGTTTTATAAGTAAATGAAAAAAATTGTAATCTGTACTGTAATCTCCAGATTAGCCTATCATCCTCAGACTCCCCCCCCCCTCCCCCGGCCCCACCCCATACTATAATTTTTTTAGCGCAAATTACCGTACTTGACTTTAAGGAGTAGTAATTAGTGTTTTAACAGTATTTTTTCAGACTAAGAGATTTTCCTAGGTGACAGCACATTTGAATGCCTTAGGGCTATAGGGCTTCCCTAAATGTTGAATCCAATGTTTATACCTCTATAACAATTCTGTTTAGAAATGCATACATATATAGTAGGGCGGATGCCTAGTACTCTGTGTTTATCATTATCATAGCCTAGGATGACATACTAGGGTGTTAGGTATGGCATCACTACATTAGAATGTAAAATTAGAGTGTATGCTATGATGTCACTCTAATAGGTTGTAGTAACAATGTTATGTTTAAAGAATGACGTCGCTGTCAAGTTCCTTGAGGTGCAGTTCTGAGCTGTTTGGGTGACTTAGTCAGTTGTGGAGCGGACTTAGCAGTTGCGTAGCATTTTTTTTATAGGTTTATAAACGAAATAATGCTTGGAATTTTTATTAAAAAATGTGCATTGGAAAATGCCTTTTGTACATTCAATATTATTCTGTGGATGCTATGTTATTATAGCATCTACAGAATTTAATATTGTTTAGATTGTTAGATTTAATATTGCTTAGTGTATACAATATTATTACAAATATTTCCGTTTGGCGTTACCTAACATTAAATATATTTGTAAGATTGCAGTAATGATAATGTATTATATGCAGTTAAAGAGTTTCCATTAGCGATATTAACTAAGTAATTAAATTAGCGATATGATTATATATTATATATATATATACATGTCATTAAACACAACAGCATTGTGACTTTTATTAATTTTCTTTTGGATATTTTTCTATTCATGCCTGATAGTGGCTCATACTTGATTGCGTCCTGTACTTGGTTAGTGCCCTTATCCTAACCTACCAGAGGACCCAAAACAGAAAACGGGGACAGTATGTCAATTTCGCCAGCCAGCAGCTCGTCATTTTTCACAGCTGGGGTAGACTGATACCTGTTTACCATTGGGGTAGACCACTGTTAACACTTGGGGGTAAACTCATCACTGCCTACTCTTGGGGTAGCTTGATCAGTGTTAACATTTGGGGTAGACTGGTCACAGTTTACACTTGGGGAAGGTCGGTCCAAATTCGCTCTTAGCCTAGGAGAGATCAGTCACTGTTTAAAGTTTCTGTAGCCTAGTGCCTGTGATATAGAGAACACGTTCACACTTGAAATAGGATGGTCACTGTTGGGAGGTAGATTATTATGGTCACTGCTGGTAGGTAGATTATTATTGTCACTGCTGGTAGGTAGATTATTATGGTCACTGCTGGTAGGTAGATTATTATGGTCACTGCTGGTAGGTAGATTATTATTGTCACTGCTGGTAGGTAGATTATCATAGTCACTGCTGGTAGGTAGATTATCATAGTCACTGCTGGTAGGTAGATTATCATAGTCACTGCTGGTAGGTAGATTATCATAGTCACTGCTGGTAGGTAGATTATTATGGTCACTGCTGGTAGGTAGATTATTATTGTCACTGCTGGTAGGTAGATTATCATAGTCACTGCTGGTAGGTAGATTATTATTGTCACTGCTGGTAGGTAGATTATTATGGTCACTGCTGGTAGGTAGATTATCATAGTCACTGCTGGTATGTGAAGTCAGGCAGTTGGTCACTCTACGTAATTTGCATAGGCAGTAGTATCGCAATTGGAGCATGCCGATTCGCAACCAACTCCATTGGTTTGACAGCTTGCGGCAGTGTTACACAGTAGGTTCTCTTCCCAGGTTTCGTAGACCTATTTGTATAAAGAATCCGAGTTCAGATGATTATATATGTACACTAGGATAGACCTAAGAAGAAAGCCGCTTTAAAAATGTATGAATCCAACTTTATTTTCAAGAATATTAATTACTGTATATATTATAAATGTTTAATATATTTTAGAGATTCTCATGAATATATATATATATTAGGTTTTCTTGTTCATAATTAGGTATACAACTTGCAAAAAGTTGTCTGATGTCTCCTAATATACAAAAAGAGTTTATATATCTCCACTCACTCTCCATTTCAGTATCTACACTCCATCCAACATCTACACTCTCCATCCCACCACTACATTCTCCATCTCACCAATTACAGTCCCCATCCTACCACCCACACAACCATCCCACCACGTACATTCATCATCCCATCACTTACAATCACCATCACACCATCTACACTATCACATCACCTACGCTTTCTACCTACTCTCACCATCTCACCACCTACACCAACCCCTCACCACCTACACCACCACCCCAACACCTACACCTTGAACTTACCAGAGGGCCAGCGCGAACTCCATCATCGTCGACACAGAACACTGTTCCTGCCTGTTGGAGCCCGCTATTTCCTTGCTTTTGATGAACAGTATAGTTCCCATTGTTCAACTGGCACTGGAGCTGTACTATGACGCCTGCATCTTGGTACAGCTGCGTGTGCCGTGCGCACTCTATGTGAGACAGACAGACAGAGACAGACGGCTAGTTACAAACTTAAACATTGTCATTATATATTTACAATATATTATTCTTATTTTATGTCCCCAATGTTATCATCCTGATACTTCCCTCCCACCTAACTGCCCAGGTCTCATTCTAATATGCAGCTCTAACTGCTCTGTTTGCTAAATGAATACATCAAGAGAGAGGTTTGAACCCCTTGGTGAGGAGGAAGTACTCACGGCAGCCTGGAGAATTGGACCCGGTGAGAGCCGGTTGGTCCATATACTTGTCGTAGCACTTACACCTGCAACACACACATCACGGCTTCCATCACTACAATAACACTAGCATGGTTGCATTATGTATCATCACACCAGTTATCTATTTTTCTAAGGTACTCAACCTCCAACGCGATAACAACATGTCGGAAGAATTCTGTTTTGAATTCTGGAGCTAGGTTACCTAGGTCACGATTAGTCAAGCATTGAAGTGCCTACCTACGAAACCTGTACATCTTTCCTCAGTCATAGAGGCTTTAGTGTGCATGTATTGATCAATTTTTGAGCTGCGAAACGTTACGAGTTTTTTTTTTACAATAACAACTTGGGTCGACATCAGCCCCGCTAGGACAGATCTCGATCCATCACGTAAACTCTTAAATTTACCTGAATTTACCTGAGGGCCTCGCTGAGGACAGGAAGCCGACGGTTTGTCAAAGGTTCCCTCATTTGCCCTGATCTTTTCCAGCTGTATTTTAAACCCCAGCAGAGTTTTGGCGTTTACGGCTTCGGCGGGTAGGTAGTTCCACGGGTTTACCGTGGGCTTTATAAATAGATATTAAGCACCCATGATCGAGGACTGATATACAGATGCCCTCGTATGGAATGTTATATAGGCACCGATTTGAAATTATTTGGGTAGTAAAGGGTAAATCAAAACACACACATTACAGTTGCATGTGCAGAAGAGAGATAAAGCCTAGCAAGTGTAAATTTAAATCATGTGATTGCTTATCTGTGAAAACATACTTGGTCTTAGGTTAAAAACGATATCAGAACAACATTAGTTTGGTATCCACTAAAATGTTTGTTTAATTACATCTCGTTTATGTATTTCATTAAGCCAGACAGTAAAATGCCCAACATATTTGAAAGGGATTACATGAAAGTCAGCCAATCGTAAGACCTGGAAGCAGATTACCTGTAAATGATTTCGAGGATCAACGTCCCCGCGGCCCGGTCTCTGACCAGGCTTCCTGGTTGATGGTCTAGTCAGTCAGACTGCTCGATGCAGTGTATTTAGTCATATTGAACGAATGGTGAAGAGAAAGTACAGAAGTATATTTGATGATAGTCAACGATGAAGGCTCAGAACGTGGACAAATGCGTTGTTTTATCTGTTCTTGAAAAATTACAGTCTGTACGTGTGTGTGTTCAGTGTACTATTGAACACACACTTCAGAGATCTACTACTGCTAGTCCTTGAAGCTCAGGCCTGTGCTGATGGCTGCAATCTAACCCTTACATATACAAGAGCAGAAATGCTGACTACTACAAGGTTTATTAACCATCTAGTGCTCAGTGATGAACTTGATATCATAGGGATGAAGTAGAAGTCTTCAGTGAGAGCCATGTGCAGTCTCTTAGGAAGGCAGCCAGGAAAATTATAGCCCCCCATGGTGCATCTTGTACCTTCTATACAGCAGTGTCTAGAAGGTACAAGATGCAGATCTATAAAGCACAAGTTCCCTCCCATCTTGAGTATGTATCAAGTATGTATATCTTGAGTATGCACTGCCCTCCTTGATTGCCTGCCTCACTAGACACATATCGGTGGTCATTTTTTATATATAAGGCCAATATTCTCAAGATACCTCCACCGGCAGCTTAGCCGGTAATTACTAAATACTCATAGTTTAAGAACGCCTAAGCACTTATGAAGTCGTTCATAATAATAACTATGAGTTGAGGACGATCTCGTAAATGCCAACTAAGTCACCCTGATCCTGATAAAATGGTACATATATCCTATTGAATTTTGTAACTAGCTCATCAAGATTGTAACTTGCTTAGCTAAATGAACTGTGGGGTTCAGTCCCTGAGCCCATTATGTGCCTCTGTAACCCTTTCCACTACCGCCCACAAGATGGGTATGAGGTGCATAATAAATGAACTAAACTAAACTATCATAAGTAAACAATAATAGTTTTGTAAATCCGGCCCAAGGTTCTTTAAAACTCACGAGCTGATGTCGCATTGCCTGGCGCTGTAGGACCCGTCGGGGTCGCAGACCAGGAGCTTGTAGGGTCCTCGCACACCCTTCAAGGCCATATGCTCCGACAGTTTGACGTAAGCTACGTACTCACTCTCACACCGCCGCAGGTATTGCTCTCCCGTCACTGTGCTATTATCTGCCGAAGTAATGCTGAGGATCAGTTTAAGTAATGCTTAATGCTTCAGGATCTGCCTTGCCGAGTGCCATACGGACAAACCTAAGCATAGCATCATAGAACAGCGACGATGAGTGGTCACCATTACAGTATCCAACCCTCTCCGTCAACTGCATCAATTCTAACTCTTAACAACACAACCCGTCTTCAGGCTATGTTCATTCCATCCAGCTGTCGACCCCAAAGACACATTCATCAGTATTAATATGTCGTTCATTCAAAATAGTAATTTTATCAAATAAAAATTAATGTATATTAGAATATTGTGTATATATTTAGTCGTAGGTTAGATTAGATGTTTAGATTCTATTGACAATTATTTCTATCTGTAGTACGTGGGTGAAGCATTTACAGAGTTATCATTCGAACAGATTGTTAGCGAAGTACTGTTCCAGAAATGTTTAAACGTTATCAGTCTAAAGAGTCGCGTGTAAAGCGTTCAGTCCGTCTTCACAAAGGTCAAATGCTCGTTAATCTGGCCACCAAAGCCCTTGTTTATGAGTGAAAACTGGTTTACACACGACTCACAACTAGTGACATTCGAATATGTCCCCAATTTGTTTCAGTAAATGGATTTTGTATATTCCATAAGAACCTAAGGCTAGCACTTTACATTTAACAAACGACTGGGTAGCCTAATGTATACCACACACTTGGCTATTAATTTTAGAGATTCTAAACTAAACAATTTAATATCGGCTACATATAACAATAAACCTAAATTCTCATTAAACTATTTAACATTAGAAATAGAAATAGAACTGACAGCAGTGAAGAAAGTGCTTGGCAGCTTCGGGTAGATTATTGCCGTAGGGAATAGCGGTGACCGGGTCTATGCAGTAACACCAGCCGTCCTCACACTGCAGGGGCTCGTAGTTACCATTCTCCAGACAGTGAAGGGTTATGGTAGTCTTCCCTGCCTGCTGTAGCTCCCACACTCGCCGGGAACACTCTGACCCACAGCAAAACTAATATTATCGTATACATTCATTTTTCTTAGGCTGTTGGGAAATATTTGTAGAATTCAATATGAGTTAAATATCTGAGCTAAATATTTTACGAGAAAGATGTTTTGCGTATCGTCCGCAGATCTGACCAATGGACTAGGAATGTGTTTTCCTGCTATATTTGATTGCCAAGCGTTAACAAACTATATGTTAGGATTTACTTTTAATCAGACATTTATACTTCACTGTTAAATGAGCAACTATGCCTTTACAAAGATTTATTCTTGACGAAAAGAAATGTTCAGGCTTTACAAAAATTAAAGTTGCTCCGGGACTGAGAGAGAGATACTCACTACAGTTCATGGAGTTATAAAGTTGTTTCTGCTCTGGGAAGGCTTCTCCGTAGATTCTGTTGCCCTCTGGATCAACACACACACACCTGCCGGGGAAGACATTCACCTTGTACAAAGACTTCGTTAAGCATACTATAGTCATAGTCATCTTAGGCATCTTTCCATGTTCATATAATATATAATATATACTTTGTCTAGCTGGAAATTTGTGCCACTCTGCCTATTAGGCTAGCTGACCTTTTATCCTGCTCCCCTCTGGGTCCCTTGCATTGCTTGGCTTCGTACTCATTCTGGGGGGTACAATCGGGCCTCCAGCGGTAGTCGTCACGGTAAGGAAGGTAGGCATCACTGTTTATGGCGTCGTCGTACTTTTGCTGGGTTAAGAGGCAGCCTTTATCTTGCGAGTCTGTGAAAGGTAATTAGATCAATGTTAGCCAATCTCTGGGCAAGCTTGGCCATGATGTTGGGTTGAAGACATGTGATTACTAGACATAAGAGAAAACCCGGAAGGAGTGTATGAAATATAGAGGGAGTGTGTGAGAGGGAATGAGAGAGAGATATGACCTGAAGGGAATGTGTAAAAGAGAGGAAGGAATAGAATCAAGGGCTCATTAGACACGATGCTAAGTGGATCTAGGGTAATCTGGCTATTATTCTTTAATACATTTTACATAAAGGCCTAGTCTAGGTGTAAAATTTAATTTGGTCTTAGCACTAAAGTGTATTTTTTTTAGGTCAACAGATCAATTTTTTAGTTTTGTAGATTCAAAAATGTTTTTGATGGATTACAAAAAAATCGAATATATAAACGAATATGTTTTGACTGTATTGTAATAACCTTAATCTTCTAATTGTTCAGACCTCATCTTCACTTCATTATTGTTTCATAAGTGGGCCCCATAATAGCGACTTTAGCGAAAATCCGGAAAAAATCTGTCAATCGGATTTTCCTTCAAAAAACGGATTAAAAAAACAAAACCGGATTCGTGGAAGACGCAGAGATGTTCGGGACGTCGGCTCTTCATGTGAAACAGTTGTCATGATGGGCACAGCAGCACATACTTCACACCATCTTTATTCGCAAGCTTGTGCTGTTGATTACCACTTTAATGAACTTAACATTGAGAGATATAAACAATGTGAGAGAGGCGATAAAGTGTGCCAGTGTAACAAGCACAGAGAAACAAGAGCGAGTCACATCAACTTACTAGGCTGACACTTGTGCTGAGAGGTGCAGAAATATGTATGGTTGCACCAGGAGGACTCCACCACGTTGTCTTCCCTTGCTGAGCTAATCCCGACCATGATGGGCACGTCACCAACTGATTTGTCGTCGATGGCACCCGTGCATGGTTCGCCTTTCTCTGGAAGTCATGAAACGAGGGTTAAAGTACAAATTTTCGACTCGTAATTGGGAATTCCGGGTTCGATCGCCAGGCGAGACAAATGGTCGGGCATTTTTCTCATAGCCTGATGCGTCTGTTGGCCAAAAAAATTATATACGTACCTGGAAGTTAGTCAACTGTTGTTAGGTTGCAAACTGGAGAGGGTCAGTACCCTCTCCCGTCCGGGACTTACCTCTGAATCTGACGCAGGCTCCGCAGCAGCCGAACTGGGCGACGCCCTCCATATAGAGAGTGCCTTCTGGACAGTCAGAGGCCAAGACGGGCTCTTGACAGGTGACGTAGAGGCACAGCTGTTGACCCATGCGCATGCGGGCGACCCCATGTGGAAAAACAGCGCTCACGATAAAAAAAAATTGATGCAGAAATATTATGAAAGTGTCTGAAATGATTTCGAAAGTGTGCGTATAATATACAAGTGGAAGCGAAATTAATAAAATAGGTACTGTATAAATGGTTATGAAAACAGGTTGAATGAAGACGATTATTGATGATTGATGAAGATTAAGGCACCCAAAAGGTGGCACGGGCATGAATAGCCCGTTAGTGGTGGCCCTTTTGAGCCATTACCAGTATCAAGAGCTGATGCTGGAGATCTGTGGAGGTGCGACTGCTCCCTGCGTGACGGGAGATGTCTCCCGTGAAGACGATTATGAATGAACCATGTTGTTATAGGATGGTTGTGAATTATACATTCACAAGAACAACTGTATAACATGAATATGTATTTATTTGTCGACTTAAGGACACGTAAAAATGTTTCCTGTAAATGAACAGAAGATATTCCAGTGAAGGTACGCAATGACAACATTGAATTGGACGGGAAGGATTTGGAATGGGACGGGGGGAAAGGAATGGTGTTTAACCCCTTGGACGTGGGGAAGGGGATTGAACGCCGACCTGCATGAAGCGAGACCGTCGCTCTACCGTCCAGCCCAAGTGGTTGGGCATCTACAGGTTCGAGCTGTTAGCTCTTGGACCACAGCTGTTAGATCTTGAAGCTAAATCAATTGCGAATTGATTTAGCTACAAAAAATTCCTCGTCTAACCCATTCCAGTTTTTGACAACATTAACACTAAGTTTTGTGTCTCTTGAGTTTCCATTTATGACCTCTAGTTCTGTTGTGTCTAGCTATGGATAATATTTTTTTGTCTATGTGAGGCTCACCAGCTGAGGGTCGGTGCTGATCAAGTCTTGGAGGGCTTCAATCCCTTCTGTTATTTGGGCCGTCGCCTGCGTCGTCACCCTTATCAGCACTACCGCCTGCAGCAGTGCCGACAGCACCGCCAGGCGAGCACTGCCACGTCCAATACTTCTACATGCTGCTGCTGGTGCCGGTGCTGGTGCTGCTGCAGCTGCTGGTGCTGCTGCTGGTGCTGCTGCTGCTGTTTGCGGCGCTCTTCTCTCTTGGGCTCCTCCAAGGGCTCCCATTATTCAGTTGCTGAAATAAAATTATGGGAGTAAGTCAAGGATATCCTCTTATGGTGTAGGAGTAAGTAAGGATAGCCTCTTATGGTATAGGAATAAGTCAAGGATAGCCTCTTATGGTGTAGGAGTAAGTAAGGATGGCCTCTTATGGTGTAGGAGTTAGTAAGGATAGCCTCTTATGGTGTAGGAGTAAGGATAGCCTCTTATGGTGTAGGAGTAAGTCAAGGATAGCCTCTTATGGTATAGGAGTAAGTCAAGGATAGCCTCTTACAGTGCAGGGTGTAAGTACGTTTCCTTTCACCTGATGCACCTGTTCACCTAGCAATAAACAGGTACCCGAGAGTTATGCACCTTTTGTGGGGATAGTTCGACCGAGAGGAAGGGAACCTCGATAGCAAGTGTATATATACACCCAGGCTTTGTGTCCCCGACAAAGGAATTATTGCTCATACCATTGTTTCAACGTGGGCTCTATCACCCCTGCCAGGTCCTAACATAAATTCTTACTGTTAAAGAGAGCTACCGATTGACGGTGGAAGGGGTTGATTAAGCAGTTGCCATTAATTTGCATATGCTTTTCTAAGTGATAAATGATGGTAAATGTCACATTTTTTTTTATCTATTTACGAAAATACAATATAAATCATATATACATAAGTTTTACAAGGCAATACTACATTATAATTCTCAGTGAACAAGTGTTTCATATATCACAGAACATGATCTTTAAAACCCCTGAATGTTATACTTATTTTTCTTTAAATGATTTAATTGTCACTTTCAAAATTTTAATGTGTAGAGAATATTATTTATATTTATTACAGATTGAAGTACCGTTATTTATTATAATTGATTTATAAATTTGTGTATTTTCTTGGTGATTTGTTAATAGAAATGTCAGTGGATTAAGTGAGATTAAACTGCTTGTATTAACTTGGGGATAACGGGTGACTGTGTTTACTAGTTATCTTATCAAGGGATGATATCAGTGTGAAGGTGTGGAGCGATTAACAGCAGGACGTAGGCCAACATAATCCACTAGAGACACCTGTGGAAATGTTACCAAAATATTTTTTGCTTCATGAAGCATTTTTCATATTGAGGAATAGGACTCGAGCCAAGTACTGGAACCTGTGAGATTATTTAGCACCACGTTTGACCAGAAAGCGATCTGTCAATTTTTAATTGTTTTTTGCCTAGGTTCCCAGTCACTCGTTCTCTGCTTAGGGTTCGAACTCTGGTTGACTCATTAGTGAAGCGAGTGTGCTAACCACTAGGCTTCGGTGAGGCTATTGGCTCATAGTGAGATACTTCACCTCACATCTGGTTATACATTCGGCTGTTGTAAATTGAATCCACTTGCACCCTGCCTTTGAAGATGTTGACAGGGTCAACGAAACGCATCTCTTAGTGTAAGGCCATAATAAAACTGTTAAATGAAGTTTGGAGAGTTAATTTTTCAACTTATTTCTCAAGTGAAGAAAAACATAAGAAAATAGAGAAGATGTGTGCTGTAATAATTGATCTCACCCTTTCTGTCATATTCATTAACATATGTCTACAAACAACGCATTAGAGGGAATTTTTAGGTCCCCTTCAACACAGTTTCTGTGTGCTTTTCTCCTACCACCCCCCCTTTCTTTTGTGTTTTTGTGCTTTATTATGTATTTAATGGTTACAAGATATATATATATATATATATATATATATATATATATATATATATATATATATATATATATATATATATATATATATATATATATAATAACGAAATCGGCATATTTACTATGATAATCAAGTTACACCTGGGCATAAGACCAGGTGCGGCTTGACGTATATCACCTTAATCACCCGCCAAACCTCGTGTTGCAGCGAGGGAAAAAATAGATTTGTTATTTATATAAATTAATTTTGTCTCTTTCATAGCCATAGTTTTGAGGATATATTATAACGGTAGTTTCACATAGAATTTGCTGTTCAGTATCACTTCAGTACTTGTATAATGCTGAAATTTGTTGGCCATGTGTGACGTGCCTGTAGGGTTTTAACCCGTCCTCAGATCAAGTCCATTCCATCCAGCAGTCGACCCCAAACACGCATTCATAAATTTTAACATGCTGTTCATTCAAACCAGGAATTTTCTCAAATATAAATAAATATTATTTTATATTACTATATTGTACATATTTAGGCACTGGATAGGTTAGGTTAGGTGTTTAGGTTCTGTTGGCGATTACTTGTATTTGTAGTACGTGTGTGTGAAGCATTTACAGCGTTGTGGTTCGAACAAAAGTCGTCAGTGAAGCAGTTTTTCCGGAAGTGTTCGAACGTCATCAGTTGTGAGTCGTGTATAAACCGTTTTTCATTCATAAACAGGGGGTTTGGCGAGTGCATGGAATGGACTTTGGGTCTGTGTTTGGAGGACGGGCTGAGTGTTTAATAATATTTTTTTTTACTCAAGACTGTCTCACCATAGTGAACCTTGTTGCAATCTTTGCAAGGGATTTTAGAAACTCTGGTGTCGTTCCTAGCGGCATATCCTGCTTTAACGATATGGAATTACTAATCTTTTCTTGGAAACGATTTGTGGTTGCCTAGTAGTGATTGGTAATATATGTAGCACCTTTGAAAGCTCTACTAAAGAACTAATTAACATAAACTACTAATTGAAAATAGTAGATATGTCGAGCGTAGGTTTAATTTCTCTCAATGACTAACCTCCGAGAGTTAGTAATGCATGATAATGTCTAGGAAAGTCCTGAAACAACGCTTCTCTTTACTTTATTCAAATGGTTACTTAAATTAGAGAGTTCGTTAAATGTATGATAGTTTTTTGTGAAAATAGTGAAGCCAAGTGAAATGTTCTTTACAGACATCTAAGAAGGGTAATTTAACCTCTTGACTCCCAATCCACTTGATATTTAGGCTACGGTTTTCAACTTTAAGATATTGAAAAAAAGCCCCAAATGTCATTCCAACAAATAAATATTTAACATATCAGCACATACTTGATACCAGAAATGTCTCCGAAGTACTCGATATCAAACTTTGATAACACTCAACGTACCGGACTTAGATATCAACCCACGCATCTGAATATAAAAGAGGTGACAACGTTTCGGCCCGTCCTAGACCGTTATCATCAAATCAAGAGTTAATAGTGGTCCAAGACGGACCGAAAGGGAGCTGGTCGGCCGAGCGGACAGCACACTGGACTTGTGATCCTGTGGTCCTGGGTTCGATCACAGGCGCCGGCGAGAAACAATAGGCAGAGTTTCTTTCACCCTATGCCCCTGTTACCTAGCAGTAAAATAGGTACCTGGGTGTTAGTCAGCTGTCAGGGGCTGCTTCCTGGGGGTGGAGGCCTGGTCGAGGACCGGGCCGCGGGGACACTAAAGCCCCGAAATCATCTCAAGATAACCTCAAGATAACATCAATTCCCTTATTTTCAGATTTGTGGGTTTGTCTAATTTTCTCCCACATTACTGTGACTTACTCTTTATATATATATATATATATATATATATATATATATATATATATATATATATATATATATATATATATATATATATATATATATATATATATATATTGGACTTCGCATACTTCATAGTACATATGATTCTAGTTTAAATTGAATGCAGTAAAAATATAGTTGTAGCACTGCGCACTGTGAGTATTATTAATACACGGAAATCAATTGGGGGACAAAACAGAGCCCTGTTGGACTCCACAGATGATACGGACAACAAAGTGAGTTATTAGGAGTTCGCGAATAGATGGAGGAAGACACAAAGGTGGTAATTTTTCAGGTAGGAGAGGAAGATTCTCAGGCAATAGAGAAGATTCACAATCCAGAGAAAGATTCAGTCCAGAGAGGAAGATTCGCTGACAAGAGCGAAAGATTCAGTCAAGACTCATACACGATGGTACAAAAGTCAACTAACCCGGAAATTTAATAGAGTTCCGGGTTAGTTGACTTCTCTATTAAATTCAAGTTCTGAAGGCCCTGAACCTTCAGAACCTCCCAATTGTCAAGCGCAGACAATATATTGCTAGGTTTGTACCATTAGATTCTCATTATTTGCATTAAATGGAAAAGGAGAATTGTTTCTAAAGCAAAACCATTGAAAGTCACTATTAGTCAATTAAAAGTATTCGCTACTCGTATTAGTTTGACCTAATTGATAAGAGAATGGAGTAAATGTGCTATCAGTCAGCGACCGTTCGCATGCGATATGGATACAGTACCCCAACATTGTAATTCTTTCCAACAATACAGTTTAATAAAAATAAATAATGCATTACTATAGATTATATTAATAATATATTATTTATATAACTTTATCAACCTATTTATGTGAGTATAATTGCTCATCAAGTACATAAATGTAACACTTATCAATTTACTTCAATGTATATGGAATGTATACATCTTTTACAGCGATATGTATACATTTAGATACACGGAGAGTATATTTTAGTCATGGACTATATTCAGGACTAAAGTATACTTTCTGGCTGGTCAATAGGCTGTTGTGGTGGCCTTAATAACCCTCCAGAGAGGTTTCAGGCGCCAAGTCCAACACCAAACGAAAAAAGTCCATTTTTAATATGTTACTTTACGGTTAAAATGTGGCAATACATTTTCCTTTATATTTATACATTAACTGTAAATTGTGTAGAAAATTACACTTTTTCAATCGCTGTGCAAATTGCCGTGAATATACTGCGAGTGTGACAAAATTGTTTTTTAATTAACATTTTGATGGAAAAGTTTCATACGTACTAGGATGTTTCAACCTCAAACGACAGTATCTTTAATATTCAAATGACAGGATCTTTGATACTCAAACGTCAAGATCATTGATACTCAAACGTCAAGATCATTGATACTCAAACGTCAAGATCATTGATACTCAAACGTCAATATCTTTGATACTCTAACGTCAAGTCCTTCATGAAACGGAGAGAGAGAAAGATCTAGAGGTTACTAACACACCAAACCTGTCTCCTGAAGCCCACATCAAAAGAATAACATCTGCGGCATATGCAAGGCTGGCTAACAACAGAACTGCCTTTAGAAACCTATGTAAGGACTCTGCAAACTAAAAATGACAGGTTAGATGGAGAAGCAAACTCCATAATTTTAAAAGTAGATATGGTAGGGAAATAGGTCAGGAGTCATTGCTCTAGACAACCGGAGGCTAGAAAGGCGAGGTCCAAGAGCTAATGCTCGATCTTGCAGGCACAAATGGGTGAGTACACACATACACACCATGTTTCACTACTTAGCTTCAACTGTTACCGTTTGCTTCATCTAGTTCCACCAGCTTGCTTCAAGTAACACGGTTTGATTCACCTTGTGTCAGGAGCTTGCTTCACGACACCCAACTTGCTTCACCAAGTTTAAGAAGTGTTAGCGGTGAGTGAGAGTGTTAGTGCTGTAGGCCCGCGGGTCTCGCCCTAACTGAGGGTAGTGGAGCCCAGTGAGTGATTTATAAAAGGCGTTGATCCCAGATAACGCACTAATACCCTAGTCTGCCCTCGCACCACTCTCACTCATTTTCACTCTCATTTTCTATATTACTATTTTTTATCACTCACATTTGCTCATTCATTTTCGATTACTCATTTTCACTCAGTTTCATCTTCATTCATGGACTGCCACTGTCATTTTCAGTTGTTGGCTGACATTGTCATTTTCAGTTGTCTGTCATTGTCAATATCCCGTGTGTGTTGAGTTTTCCTTAATTGCTTCCTGCTATAGGCTCTCTCACTCCTTTCTCTTCCCCATAGGTCTACCGAGTTCATTTTCCTAACATATTTTGGTATTTTCTAAAGGTATCCGCACCCTTGATGTCCCCTTGTCCTCCCTACCATTCCCCACTCCCCTGTCTTAGTCTTTCACCCTCTTGTCAACAGCCAGTCCTTGTCCACGTTGTCTATGGTTCTGACTATCTTGTATGTTGTGATCATGTACCCTCTTGAGTTTTTTTATAGCCATGCGTTATTGAGTTTAGTAGATAAGTGACTTGAGAAGTGGAGATATAGTTGATGTAGTGAAGATAAGTTATATATGCATATATATATATATATATATATATATATATATATATATATATATATATATATATATATATATATATATATATATTTTCTATATTATTGTTATTATTATATACATATAATATATTATATATGTATATTGCCACTAGGGCATTTGGGGGAAGCTGGACAAGCCGCCGGCTTCCTGTCTTGGTCGAGGCCACTAGTGTTAGTGGCCCTCAGGTAAACTCGGGTAAATTATATATATATATATATATATATATATATATATATATATATATATATATATATATATATATTTATATATATATATATATATATATATATATATATATATATATATATATATATATATATATATATATATATATCACTAAGAACTCTTTGACCCGGCCAGGATTCGAACTCATGCCGTCCAGGATCACCCCTAAACGTACACAGTACCGTGACCACCGGTACTTAGACCGTGAGCTTAGTTAATAAGCGCCAATACTGACCAATCCTTATAGACGATCATTGGTGCGGTGGTCACGGTACTGTGTACGTTTAGGAGTGATCCTGGACGGCATGGGTTCGAATCCTGGCCGGGTCAAAGAGTTCTTAGTGATATATGGCTTGCGTGTTCATGCAGCTTTCTCATATATATATATATATATATATATATATATATATATATATATATATGTGTGTGTGTGTGTGTGTGTGTGTGTGTGTGTGTGTGTGTGTGTGTGTGTGTGTGTGTATGTGTAAATTGTTGAGAGTTTTTGTAAAGTGGAGATAGTTTTCTTGTAGTAACTGATAAAGTAGCGCGCACGCACACACACACACACACACACACACACACACACACACACACACACACACACACACACACACACAAAATACTCTATCAACATACACTGACTATATTAAAATGTTAATAACAATAACTATATTGTTGCTAATTATTATTATAATATAAACAATCAAATAATAATAATATAATAATTATCTTTATTGTAGACAGAAGTTCATATATTGTACAGAAGTTCAAAAATTCTTATATAGCGATAATAATTAAGTAACACAGACAGTCAGTCATGTTATCTTGACTGTTATCTTGACTGGAAATCCAAGGGTGATCGAAGCATCGTCGTTTCCCTCAGATGTGTGGGTTGGGAGTCTTTAAGATGTGTGGGTTGGGAATCTTAAAGATGTGTGGGTTGGAAGTCTTAAAGATGTGTGGGTTGGGAGTCTTTAAGATGTGTGGGTGGGGAGTCTTAAAGATGCGTGGGTTGGAAGTCTTAAAGATGTGTGGGTTGGGAGTCTTAAAGATGTGTGGGTTGGAAGTCTTAAAGATGTGTGGGTTGGGAGTCTTTAAGATGTGTGGGTGGGGAGTCTTAAAGATGCGTGGGTTGGAAGTCTTAAAGATGTGTGGGTTGGGAGTCTTTAAGATGTGTGGGTTGGGAGTCTTTAAGATGTGTGGGTTGGGAATCTTAAAGATGTGTGGGTTGGAAGTCTTAAAGATGTGTGGGTTGGGAGTCTTTAAGATGTGTGGGTGGGGAGTCTTAAAGATGCGTGGGTTGGAAGTCTTAAAGATGTGTGGGTTGGGAGTCTTTAAGATGTGTGGGTGGGGAGTCTTAAAGATGCGTGGGTTGGAAGTCTTAAAGATGTGTGGGTTGGAAGTCTTAAAGATGTGTGGGTTGGGAGTCTTTAAGATGTGTGGGTTGGGAGTCTTTAAGATGTGTGGGTTGGGAATCTTAAAGATGTGTGGGTTGGAAGTCTTAAAGATGTGTGGGTTGGGAGTCTTTAAGATGTGTGGGTTGGGAGTCTTTAAGATGTGTGGGTTGGGAATCTTAAAGATGTGTGGGTTGGAAGTCTTAAAGATGTGTGGGTTGGGAGTCTTTAAGATGTGTGGGTGGGGAGTCTTAAAGATGTGTGGGTTGGAAGTCTTAAAGATGTGTGGGTTAGGAGTCTTTAAGATGTGTGGGTTGGAAGTCTTAAAGATGTGTGGGTTGGGAGTCTTAAAGATGTGTGGGTTGGGAGTCTTAAAGATGTGTGGGTTGGGAGTCTTAAAGATGTGTGGGTTGGGAGTCTTAAAAGTTATACAGAGATGGCATCATTCATTTTGTTATATTACAGCATAATTTATATACAGACATGTATACATATCTGTATATAAATACTATTATCAATACTGAGAATCGTGATATAGTTGATAATACACAAGCAACATTAATACATGGGAACAACATTAATTTTTGATACAAGGAAGAACATTTGCAACTGGATAGGCTTCTCTCTGAGAGCCCGTTCTCTTGATTGGTCACAACGTACAAAATACAGTGCTAAACTAGCCAGAAATGCCCGAACCCAAGCAGTAGCCCTTCTAGCCTAACGAGCCATAGAAAGCGTGGATATGTATATATGTAAGCCTGTTGTTATAGTTGTAATTTGTATGATGGGAACCAGGACGTGCAAAGTCAATCCAGAGAGAGGGGGGGGGAAGGTGTAATCAAACTGATAGAGCAGTCAGCACTTTTGACTGATTTTATATAAATTACCGATAGATTGTTCCATCTCTACCCTTAAATGACTAAAAGTCTAGAGGAAAATATATATATATATATATATATATATATATATATATATATATATATATATATATATATATATATATATATATATATATATACACATAGAATATCACAGAACAGTTTTAAGTACTTTTTTCCTCTGAGTCAAAGCACCTTTTCCTACGATGACTGTTAATAATTGGACGAGTGTTTGTTGTGAGAGTGGACAGAAGTAATTCAATATCACAGAACAGTTTTAAGTACTTTTTTCCTCTGAGTCAAAGCACCTTTTCCTACGATGACTGTTAATAATTGGACGAGTGTTTGTTGTGAGAGTGGACAGAAGTACTTCACATCCAACATGTGTCACTTTGTATAGGCTCCTTCGGTAACGATAGATTCTTTCTGGAACTTTCCCATGCACTTGTATGGCCATATACCAACATGTCTGATCTATCGCCGTTCGAATGTTGAGTTGTTGTAGGAGCTTTGAGCATTGTAGGCCGGATAAGCATCGTTTGGACACCCATCACACACTTCGTCACAGGATTTGAGGTTACCGTTTTGGCACTCGACTGCCTTCGCACAGTTCAGTTTGTCTTTGAATTTCTCGAGGATCTGCGGGACGGAAAGTGTGTTAGTTGTGTACTTTACCAGCAGTTTTCTGAGTTAAACTTAAGCTCCTGTGACCCGCCTGTCTGTTAGTTGATAATGCAATAGTTCTTGGCCCCCCTTTTATGTCATGGTGTTAGCTCGTCTAGCCTCTCTTATAATTCATTCCACTTTTCACCCCACCTTCACCTCCCTAACCTATTAACCGTCTCCCCAGCTCCTGTGCCAGGTAAGCCTTCCTCGGGGCTCACCATAGCCCGTGCTACATGGACATTTCGTTCTGAGTAGCTAAATCTAAAACAACAACTATTCGAGGAAGCGGGACTCACAATGGAGCTGGCTCTAATACCATCTTGGTCCACACAGTAGATGACTTCTCCAGCAACCTGGAACTGGTTGTAGACGCCCGCAGCGGCATAGTCTGAGGTAGTGCAGGTGAGGGTGACGATCATATGGTTCTCCTGGTAGAGCAACCGGTCTCTGGCGCAGTCTGTCGAAGAGGCACAGAAGTAGTAGTTATGGAGAGATACCACTAAGCCAGCATGACTGTGTAACACATGGAAGGGATACAAGGACAGGATAGAAGCAGGGATGGCGGGACGGAGTGACCGAAGGATGCCTGACCACTATCGGGGCTCGAACACCGGACCTGCAAAGCAGCGAAGCCGTCGTTGTGTCGCCAAGTCCAAGTGATTGGCTTCCCGAAGATAAAAAAGATGGTTTCATATGTGTTTTACATGTTTTGTTACTATACACGAGTCCATCTTCGTCCACAACGAAACTTCAGGAGACAGGTTCGTTGTGATGTAAACACGCAGATCTCTCTCACTAACTACCCCAGCCACTTGAGGCTGGACGGTAGAGCAACGGTCTCGCTTCACGCAGGTCGGCGTTCAATCCCCGACCGTCCAAGTGGTTGAGCACCATTCCTTCCCCCCGTCCCAAATCCTTATCCTGACCGCTTCCAAGTGCTATATAGTCGTAATGGCTTGGCGCTTTCCCCTGAAAAACTCCCCATGATGTCTCACTAACTTATAAGCTTCCATCTCCTATTTAATACTTGTGTGTCCAACTTGCTGTATCCTACACCTTGTTTCATTATTGTGCATTTGAGGTAAACTGTAGTAGTTTACCCAGGTTATTGTGTAGCCCCTTGCTATCTTCCTCTGCTGTAATCCTCCTCACTATTTTTGCTTCAGCAAATATCAGGAGGGAATTGTATTAATTCCTTTTAAAGACCGTTTACAGCTCGCCACTCTCAGCTCTCTTCCCTCACAGTGTGTGTGTGTGTGTGTGTGTGTGTGTGTGTGTGTGTGTGTGTGTGTGTGTGTGTGTGTGTGTGTGTGTGTGTGTGTGTGTGTGTGTGTATAACACAAGTGGTACTAGCAGGAACTACAACATTAAGCATACTTACTACAACCCCCTCCCGCTGGCTGAGCGATGAGGCTATCATACTTGTTGTCATACTTGTCATAGCATCGATACCTGCAAGATAAAGGTAATAAAGCATTACTTAACAATAATAATAATAACTTCATACATATCGTAACACACGTCACAGGAGAACAAATACACAAGAAGCCTGATGAGGGCTCGAACCCATGCCTTGAGTTCTCCCAGACGCGCCTTAGGCACCTTAGGCACCCTACCAACCACACCATGGATGCCCACAACAGGGAAAGGCTCGATGAAGTACCTAACTGGTACCCAACTGAGATTTTACACTGTTCTCCGGTGCATCACATTAGTGTCTGGTACAAATCCAGATCTTTATTGATGTCTGATACACTAATAGTGAGCAGCCTAGTTTCGTTACCCAAAAAATGGCGTTCTGGTATTTTTCCGGGCCAGAGTTTGAATTTCTGACGATCCTACGATGTAATAAAAACTTATAAAATCACCCCGTAAATAAATATATCTTTGATATTCCCAAAACCAGACTAAATATATGCAAAACACGTCATGCAGATAAAGGAACCCAATATATAAAAGTACGTTCCAAATTAATTAAAAAAATCTTCAACCTATACTGTACTCAAAAGTCAAACCACAAAGTATATAATTTCCTCGCCATAGTATTCTATATTAGGCTACTAACTCGCCCTAACACTTGACTATCTTATAACTCAGTATAACTTGCCATTATTACCACCCTAACTAAATAATGCTAACACAGGGAGTGTGTCAACTCTGACATTACTAAGTCACCACTTTTATTTCTTTAAAGCTTTACTTCACCAGTTAAAAACTTAAATTTACAGCAAATTTAATTTGGCTTTAAGGCTGTGTGCGCATTACTGACCATGAGGCTTTGCTATTTAATCATCCAAAGTCTATACTCAACACAACCTTATTGTACCTTCTTTATATATAAATATAATTTAAATTTTTTCCCCGTTTTTCATTGTCGAAATTATTGTGAGTACATTAGGCATATAGCTGACTATTTGGTGAAATGCCACTCACAACAGTTGCCTAACTCCCGGGTATCTTAACTAGAGGCATCAAGGGGGAATGAAACGTGTCAAAACATCTGTGATCGCTGCACTATTACAAAAAAGTAGAGTAGGGAAGATGGGAAAGAGGAGGAAATGAAGAAAAGTAGCCGAATGAGGAAACAGGAAGGTAAGGGGAGAGAGAGAGAGACACGACATAAAAGCAACAGTTTATTGTTCGTGTGTCTTTCAAACCCTTAATACCAAGATGAAATTTTAATCTTAAATCTCCAGGAAGCAACTGGATGTACAAATGTTACAAAAGTACATTACCGAGGCTCAAAGACGCCTTCGAGTACTTCGACTCCTCCGAGTACTTCGTCAACATGATTCATTCAACACAAAGCTTGGGGAACTTACGTCCCGTCGAAGCTGTACTGTAGGCCGCCGTAGGAGCCGTCGGGGTCGCAATTGAGGGTTATGGAGGGTCCCTGCATGTTCTTGGCCTTCATGTAATCCAGCAGGAGGTAGTGGGCGTGGTACACGCTATCACACCGTCTCAGGTACTGCTGGCCCGTCGTCGTGGCGTTGTCTGAGTGCGAAACGGAGATTGTTGTTTAAGATTCAGCTTCTAGGAACAAAATGTTCCAAGTAGCACGGGCTATGGTGAGCCCGTAGTGGACTTACCTGGCACAGGAGCGGGGCTGAGCATCACTAAAATACCTGGGTTACTTGCCTTCAGCGGAGGTCGCTGGCCAATGCTCTCCTGCTTTCTTCTGACCTGCTGTTCGCCCTCGTCTGGTGTTATGTCGCTGAGTTAGATAGGAGAACATTCGTATACACATTTACTGAAAGGCGACATTCTTCCTACCTACAAAAATAAGCCCTGAAATTTTACCCTAATGTACCTAGTAATCTTTGTTATTATATTGTATTGTTATTATTGTGTGTTAATCTAATCTTTGTTTATTGTGTCAAAATTTCTTACAATGTACCTGTAAACATTTTTTGTCAAATTTACTGGAAAGTGTCTACTTAAAATTATCTGTTAGATTAAGGACTTGCCCGAAACGCTATGCGTGCTAGTGGCTTTACCAGAATGTAAAACTTCAAGTGTCTGTAATCTCATGAACCCAATGTAAATTCTTGCATATAAATAAATAAATAAATAAATAAATAAATAAATAAATAAATAAATATATAAATAAGCTCTTCCATGTCTCGTGGTGAACAGTGTTGGTCCCCAGACTGAGTCTTGGGGCACGCCACTTACCTCTCTTGTGAAATAGTGGCAAAAGAATTACAAAAAGTCTATGAACAACAATATATTAATCTCGCTACTATCTGCTACTTCAAATATGTCTGAAAACGCGAGAGAACAATTTATAAATATGATCGTCTTTTTGTAAATCTATTTCTTTTAGTTTCCTATGTAACTTTTTCAGTAAATACACATCATCTTCGATTTTTTCTTTGGGTAATTTCACCATAATTAATGATAAACTGGACGATAGATACCGTGAGCTAGACTATCTTGTTAAAACTTACAGCGCCACTAACAACATTTACATCCTGGCGGAGTGCCAGACTCTGATAATTTAATGAATCTACTTGACATGGATTGACTAAGTTCCGCCTTACATTCCTTTAGGATCACGGAGGATACTTTCATACAACATGGGGGGGGCCCATTTGAGTTTAAATTTATATATTTATCCAAATTACTAATTAACCATCTTTCCTATGGTAAATATTAATTATTTAGTGTCTGAGAGAAGACAAGTGAGCACTCACAACAGGGAAGTATGTTCATCACGTCTTCTGGGAGAGCCGGGCCGTAGGGTATGGCGGTGGCCGGGTCAATGCAGTAACACCAGCCGTCCTCACACTGCAGGGGCTCGTAGTTCCCATTCTCCAGACAGTGGAGAGTCATGGTAGTCTTCCCTGCCTGCTGCAGCTCCCACAGTCGCCGGGAACACTCTGAGCAACAACGAGCGTATGTTGCACATTATGTACATTGTGTATTAGGTTATGTGCATGATTTAATTTTGTTATTAGTGAAGATTGTGGAATGGACTACTACTACGCAGCCTACTAACCGCCTTCTCATTTTGTGATGTGAAGGGGGTTAGTAGGCTGCGATTGTTGGCTAGTACTTGTGGATAGACTAAATTAAGCTATCCAATGTGAATGACCATAGATTAAATTGACAGATAATGTAAGGTCAACATATTATAGATATAAATGGATAGGATAGACGAAATCATCCATCAGATAGAAGACTGTGCCGTATGAAGGATGGAACATATTTCCTCATCCAGATTATTAGCATATTCGAGGCTAGAATATAGATAGTTAATGATAATAGACTTGACTACATAATAATTTAGCTAACTTGTGACTGTGGATAAACCAAAGTCTAGAATGAACAATCACATATTCGTGAATAAACTTATTTAGAAAGGGATGTTGTACAAATATATGCATTAGTGAGGAGTTTAAGAACAATATGACAAAGACAAGTACGTACTGCAGTTCATATCTTGATACAGATCCCTTTGCCATGTGAAGGCTTTCCCATAAATAGTTAGACCTTCAGGATCCACACACACGCACCTGAGAGACAAACACAGGAGAGAGAGAGAGAAGAGTTATATTAATAATATCCAAAAAGAAATCAAGATCAATGCGACATTACCAAGTAAATTACGTTCAATAGTCACAATTTCATTTTTGACTTCCTTCAATATTATGGAATAGAATTGTTAAAAAACCAGTAGATTTCCTGTGCTACTTAGTGCTATGAATACATTCTATCAGATATGTTTATAAATCGAAGGAACTTCACCTGTTACCTGAACTAACTTCCAGAGATGGGGTAGAAATAGCCTAATCTACTCAATCCCTTTGAGATGTAATTTATTATCTCAATAAACGTACTTCAACTTGAACTGACTTGAATATAATTTTTACCCTATTCCAACAACAACATGGCCCTACCATGCGTGACCTATGACCTGACCTGCGTTCGCTGTAGGGTCCCTTGCACTGTTTCTCAGCATACTGGCCGTCAAGAGTGCATGTGGGTCTCCAGCGGTAGTCGTCGCGGTAGGGCATGATGCTTCCGCTCTCCCGGTCTTCGTCGTAGCGTCTCTGGACGTACTTACAGCCTCGGGCCTGGTCATCTTGGTGAGAGGGAGGAGGCCAGGTAAACGACTATGCTAGAGGTATATATATATATACAGCACTCTACTGATAATAATAATATTCACTCACAGTTCCTGCGACGGCGTTGGAACCAATCGTATTGGCGTATGCCTTTCCATTGGAGACTTTCAGCGCCGTGGAGAGGGGGGGACCTGCTGCCTGGGTAACAGGTTCTTCCCCGAATCAACCTACCCTGGCTTTGCGCCCTAGTGAGGCCACTCCAGACCGACAACCAGAGCGCAACTCTATAGTCTCCTGAGACTGATGGATGCCTACTACTACTATTCACAGCAAAAACACCCGGTCAGCAGCACTTTGGAGACAGCACTTACCAACTCTACACACGCCATCTTGGCTGCAGTTCAGGGCGTAGTCGCACCAGGAGGACGTAACAATGTTGTCGTACGATTCACTAAAGAGACTTAAGTGTTCTCGCTGGGAGGTCGACGTCCCGTACCCACTATTAAATTTAGGATCGAGATTGCCTGTGCAGATGCCTTCCCCGGCCTCTGTTGGGAAGAATACAGACAAGCACATAAGAACAAGAATAAAAAGAACATAAACAATATACACAACCACTCCCCAAAAACACCATAAACCATTTACGAGAGAAAAAAAAGAATGCGACAAATGCGAACAAAAACAAAGTGGGAACACACACACACACACACACACACACACACACACACACACACACACACACACACACACACACACACACACACACACACACACACACACACACACACACACACACACACACACACACACACACACACACGCAAGCATCCCACAGGTGTTTCAATACTAACGCTTGTATCTGACGCAGGCGCCACAGCAGCCCAACTGCGTGACACCGTGCTGGTAGAGAGTACCAACGGGGCAGTCCACGGCCCTCAGTGGTTCCTGGCACTGTATGTAGTGACACACCTGCAAGCGAGTAATGGTCATCATAACACACCTGTAGGGAGGTATTGGTCATCATAACACACCTGTAGGGAGGTATTGGTCATCATAACAGCTGTACAAGTTTCCTTAGCACTGCTTCCTTCTGTATTTACACATAACCTAATCAAATCGTGTCTTAATTAAGCAATTGGTGATGTACTATTTTCTTAAGAAGTTAAATGTATATATATATTACCAATATAAGAAGAGGTATTTGATATTATTTATCTCCTATTAACATCAGTTCGTGGCTCGAACCGGGGTCCAGTTTATGACACATACGTTCAGTGACTATTAGTGTAATGAGGTTTACGGTCGATGCTGTGAGAGGCTTCCCATTCACCTTGGTTCTTGTTGTTGTTATAGATTCAGCTACTCGGAACAAGTTCCAAGTAGCACGGGCTATGGTGAGCCCGTTGGGGGCTTACCTGGCACAGGAGCGGGGCAAGTAGCACGGGCTATGGTGAGCCCGTAGTGGACTTACCTGGCACAGGAGCGGGGCAAGTAGCACGGGCTATGGTGAGCCCGTAGTGGACTTACCTGGCACAGGAGCGGGGCAAGTAGCACGGGCTATGGTGAGCCCGTAGTGGACTTACCTGGCACAGGAGCGGTGCTGTGTCGTTTTTCTCACCTTGGTGGGGTCCGTCTGCATATATTCCTGAAGGAGATCTATGCCCGGGGTGGACTGGTCATCACCAGCTGTCAACACCCAGATGCAGGCACACATCACCACCTTCATGCAACACCACCTCTGCATGCTCATCTCCCAGGCTGTGTTGATGGTGCAGGCTGCAGGAATACAAAACACAAATACCAGGTTTATTGAGCCGTCACGTAAACAAATCAATAACAGAAAACGCGTACGGGCTCACCATAGCCCGTGTTACTTGGAACTTTTTGTTCCAGGTAGCGAATCTTTAACAACAACAACAGAAAACGTAATATTTAGCTTAATAATTTAATAATTGTAAGCGCCATATAGCTACGAGGCGTTTTTAGATAGTTCTACAAAATAAACAATTGTAAAATTGAAGAAAAGGATCATTACAAAATGTAAAATTGTTTACTATTTCAAAGAAGTAGAGAAAAACAAAAGTCGACAAAGATTGTCTACCAAGTAAAAAATATTCATGGCAAAAATGAAAAAATGCTAGGGAGGTCCTAGTTCTAGGGACCCGGGTTCGATTCCTGATCGATACAGAAACAAATAGACAGTTTCCTTCACCTGATGCATCTGTCCACCTAGCAGTAAGTACGTACCTGGGAGTGTTAGACAGTTGACTGCATCAGCGGGGATATGTATGTGTGAGAAATGTGCAGTAGATAGGAAAAACGAAAATCCTATCTCAAACAACCTAATACAAATCTTTAAATAGAGTATTTTGATTTTGTGCAACAATATATATATGTAAATATTTGCAGCACCACACACAGAGATCACACTAACGTGATGCATCAAATGAACAAATCCTTGTGGATTTGTTCATTTGCAGCACAATGTAGATTATATTGGAGAACTAAGGTTCTCAAACCTCACTCTTAGATTCTCATATAATATATAATGTTATGAGGCTAATACTAAGTATAATAATTAATATTAATAATATTGTTATCGGTGTTTAAGATTCGCTACCTGGAACAAAAAGTTCCAAGTAGGACGGGCTATGGTGAGCCCGTAGGGAAATAATAATAATAATGGTATGTGGGTGTACTTACGAGAGTGTGATGTGTGAGAGAGAGAGGCTTCGCTCAAGGCGGAACACTAAGCTCTGATGGGACCAATCCGTGGCAATCAATGATAAGCGATAGCTTCGTCCCGATAAGGATTGCACTCGCGTGTCCACAAATGTTCATTATTCCCAGATTTTCACGTCGATATACTAGTGCGTATGCCTCGTGTGTGTTGCCTAGATGATGGCAAGATATGTTATAATGATGATTTTTAACTTATAATAATGTATTTGTGTGTGTCAATGATATCCGTTATCCATGATTTGCTCTCTCCAAGGTTAGGTTATCTTTCACAGTTGATAAGCTGAGATGGTCAGGGTCTGCGGTGATGCAACATAAACTCCTTCCTCACACGCAATTCATCACACTATGTGTAGTGTGAATACATAAACACCGTCTCCACATTCAATATTTATAATACATCACACTAAATGTCAATTCTCATACCAGGAACGGTTGAGGGCCACAGGACTGACTAAGAGCAGTCACACATGACAGGGCTGATCTCGTCGAAAATTTTAACATAACAAGTTTGACGATATTAATTCCGATCCCATCTTGGGGTCAAACGTTTTCAAACATTTCCTTTCATCTAATGTACTGTTCACCTAACAGTAAGTAGGTACTCAGGAGTTAGTCAGCTTGTAGTGGGTTTGCAACCTGGGAGGGATCAATAATTCGACCTGGGTGCGGGGGAAACCTCAATAAAAGTCTATGAATACACTTTGACACTTTTTTATGAATAACATTGTATGTATACACTCTGGCTCTCTGTCCCCCCCCCCCCCCCGACACACTGAATTATTTGTGATTGAGCTGTCCCTAAATTTATTTATTTATATAGTCAGTCATTAAATTGTGACGTTTTCTATAATAGTTTTCCTCCAGTGTGCAGTGACTGCTCTGGAACATGTCTCATCTGACACAGTTCTGTGTTTGTGTAGTAGTTTGAAATGACGCAAATCACCATGATGCATGTCTGTGAAGCGTAAATAAATATATTATTATTATATTATAGTATAAATATCCCAACACAATAATTATACAACTTTATATTTAATGGCAAAGTATCCTGTGACTATTACAAAAACCCTAAAACCCAGTTAAAAAAACTGCAAAATAATAAATACTATATCGAACAAAGACATATATAATCGTATAATTTTTTTTTTTTATAAAGATATATAAAACAAATATTGTTTCTCAATCTGTATCAAGACCATTAAATTGACAATTTAATAGTTAAGAAACTCGCGGGAAATGTGCCGGATGCCTCTTAATGACGCAATGGACTGGAACTGCCAAAAGAAATCGAACTTTCACCTTTTTCCGTCGTTAATTATGGAGTTGGCATTCGTTACCCAGGCAGTGAGGGCGTTGGGCGGGGCAGCAGGACCTGGCAGCTGTGGAGAACTGTCTAACAGCAGCAGGAAGGAGGACCTCGAGGGTGGAGTGTGAGGAGGAGTAGAAGAACATGGGTGTGACGGCTTCTTGTAGGAGTGGCGGTGATCGTGACTCAGATAGTGAAGGTTAGTGTATGGTGCAGGTAACTGTATGTGTGGGCTGGTGGAGCAGGTCACTGTATGTGGGGCTGGTGGAGCAGGTCACTGTATGTGGGACTGGTGGTGCAGGTCACTGTATGTGTGGGCTGGTGGTGCAGGTCATTGTATGTGTGGGGTACAGGTCACTGTATGTGTGGGCTGGTGGTGCAGGTCACTGTATGTGGGCTGGTGGTACAGGTCACTGGAGCAGGTCACTGTATGTGGGGCTGGTGGTGCAGGTCACTGTATGTGTGGGCTGGTGGTACGGGTCCGTCTAATTACCACAAGCTACACAAGCTTCAGAAAGCTTCCTGGCAATACGTTAGTAATGAATAAATATGATATGTTAGGTTAGGCTGACCTAAACTAACCTAACTTAACCAAACCAAACCTAACCTAACCAAACCTAACCAAACCTAACCAAACCTAACCAAACCTAACCAAACCTAACCAAACCTAACCAAACCTAACCAAACCTAACCTAACCAAACCTAACCAAACCAAACCTAACCAAAACCAAACCTAACCTAACCAAACCAAACCTAACCAAACCTAACCTAACCTAACTGACGCTTGGATCGTCGACTTTATTTGTGGGAAAAACCTGCTGGGATTGATATAAGAGGAGACTACCAGGGACTTGTACTGAACTAAATTAAAAATTACTGTCTGCAAATTAATTCAACTAAAATCTCTAGCTAGGGTTGTAAATCCTAGCTCCTCTTTTCCTAATGACAGATTGTGGGCTGTAAGGGACAGGTGGGGTGAATGTCTTAGTTGATAGAAGTTCCAGTCCACCTGCAGACTGGGATCTCACATCAGCTTGTATTTTATACAAGGATAAGATTTAATAAATTCAGTTGTATGACTGAACACTGGCTCTGTTTAAATCGGGGATTTAAACATACATAGTCTAACCTAGCACCATAACTATTAACAGCCAATATGTACTTATATTATAAACAACAAATTAAATTGTAAAAGTATAATAAATGACCTTAAATGTAGTCTAAATACTGTTAACTAAGTACTAGAAATTATTCAATTAAATGAACTTATGTGATAACTTAAAAATAACTAAGCCAGCAATTGATAACTTAATTTATATATTCAAGTATATATGCAATGTATTTATTCAATTTATGAATAGGTAAAGTTAGCTTGACTGAATCTCTTCCAACACTATGGACACTTATGAGGTTCTTTACTTATTGCGGCTGAATTCTTTTCTGACACAATGGACACTCATGAGGTGTAGTGCTTGGATAAGATTCACAGCTACACTACAATTTTAATAAACGTACTGAAAAATGAGGCGTTGCCTCTCTTTTTAACCAACAGACAGATTTATAGGATATTAAAGTCACACAAGCATACAATTGGCCAATCATATACCAAATAACCTTCAATATACTTCTCTGCCAGTCGGGGTGCCTTGTCTGACAAGGTGCCAGACTGATTAACTCTCTCTTGTTGAGTTTAGGCACTATATTTTGCCACAGCGTTGCTGTAGGATGATCTGGTAGCGTTGCTACGTGATTGTCCCTGCAGTTGCAGAAGAATGATAGTTGATAAAGAATAGAATGAAGGTGGTGGAAACCGAGTCACTGTGATCTCCACTATACACTCTTATTTTATATAAATGTTCTAGGATTTTCCTTGTAGATATTGTCCAGGTACTCCCCCAGTTCTAGAGAGTGTTCACTGGTGATAAAGATATTAGATAAGGTGTCCTTGAGCTGGTAATGTTCGCTAAGGATCCGTCACTTGTTCATTCAGTTGTAAACAAACACGAAGTGCCCCGGGCTTTGTTGGTGGGCGCTTCACTCCCCCCCATCGCCCTGCCATGCTCTCTGTGCACGGTAGCCTTCTATGAATATTGATTGATTATTTTTAGAGTCTAGACTTATGATTAAGATAAGATGTGATTATAATATAATTAGATATAGGATTTAAAGGTTATAAGTAGTACTTGATAGCACCACTGATTCTTATTAAGGATTCGATTTTTAATCTCTACCGGAAGCGATCAATGTTCCAATAGTTTTTTAATTAACAAATCCTTGTAGAAGCTTCTGGATCCTTGAGAGATCATGTACAAAGTCACGTAGGCATCAAAAGGGCCCTGTTGCGTACATGTTCATGTTGACGGTGTCATCTAGGATCAAGCTATATAATGATTCTAATATGATTTTGATACGATTTAGATATGATTTTGATATGATATAGAAATATTTGTCTCCGTGGTGTAGTGGTAAGACACTCGCCTGGCGTTCAGCGAGCGCTATGTCATGGGTTTGTATCCTGGCCGGGGAGGATTTACTGGGCGCAATTCCTTAACTGTAGCCTCTGTTTAACGCAACAGTAAAATGTGTACTTGGATGAAAAGACGATTCTTCACGGCAGGGGATCGTATTCCAGGGACCTGCCCGAAACGCTACGCATACTAGTGGCTGTACAAGAATGTAACAACTCTTGTATATATTTAAAAAAAAAATGATATAGAAATTATACATTTCTTAGATGATTATTAGATATGGTGGGTAAAAATTTCCCACATTATTTGGCGTCACCAGCTCTTTATTTTTGTCTAATTTCTTAATAAAAATATACTTATTCAGAATAAAATTGTTTTCTCGTGTTGTACATTCGGCACCAACATTATAATGAGTAAATATATCATATTTATTCATTACTAACATAAGCTTTCTGAAGCTTGTGTAGCTTGTGGTAATTAGACGGACCGGGTGGTACAGGTCACTGTATGTGTGGGCTGGTGGTGCAGGTCACTGTATGTGTGGGGCTGGTGGTGCAGGTCACTGTATGTGTGTGGGCTGGTGGTGCAGGTCACTGTATGTGTGGGCTGGTTGTGCAGGTCACTGTATGTGGGCTGTATTTAATGTCGTGCATGTTTTTCTCTCGTCAGAACGTAGGATGAACAGGCAAGAGAGTGCTAACATGGCTGAGGACGTGGTGGAGGCAGTCATCTGTAAGACGGATGAATTGCCCAATGAAGGGTGAGATCCCGAATGTCAGTAAAGTTTATGAGGATTCCCCTTCACCCATTGATAATTTGAGTTATGGTTAAAAGGAACATTTGAAATCATTTTGTAGAGACAGAATAATTACTAATGTAATTGTTTTTACCTGTTTTTATCTCAATGTCGGTGGTTGTATCCTGAAGGAAGTCAGTTGTTGGTGTTGGGAAACCCAATAATTCTACCAGGCTTCGTGTCCCTAGCCATTACGCCTCATTTTGTAGATAAAAATTAAACATTTATGTACTGTACTGTATATTGATTTAGTATTTATTTTATTTTATTTTTTTTAATTTTGAGGCAGTACATTTTTGTTCTGTTCCTAAACATTTTTGTAAGCCATTAAAAAGTTTGAAGACCCAGATACAGTGCCTAATGGACAAAATGCCCCTTCATAAATGCCTTAACTACATCACTGGTGAAATCCAGATTTACGAACTATAATGAAAGTAGATTCTATACAAACCTACATTATAATACTTATTTTCAGGCTTGATAAATATAGTTTAATTATATATAATGGGTTAACCCATATTAGATGTGTTCTTGACAAGTGCATTATTTATATTAAAAGTTCTAATATCATAATAATGTCCAGACACGTAAAAAAGCACAACACTAGAGACTTAATAATTATAATAATATTTTATTTAGGAAAAGTACAGTACATAGATGCAGAGTTACAAACATTCAGATTAATTATAGGCAGAGCTAGTACATACAAATACCTAAAGCCACTAATACGCATAGTGTTTCGAGCAAGGTGTGGAACACTTATACTTGTGCATGTATACTCTGTAATTTAGTAAAGAATAAAAGGAACTCGGGCAGAATAAGGAAGAGATACATTGCAGCAGCAGGATTACCTACAGTCATTGCAACAAAATCCATGTAAATGAGAGTTTTTGGCATTCATGAAAAGTATCAGAATACTACTGTATAAGTATAAACCACTTGTATAAAATTTGCACTTGTTTAACACAGCTGTGATTTTGGTTTTTACTTAACTGTAATGAAAGTACAGTGTGGTATTGTATATTGAACCTGTAATGTTATACTGTACTGTAGTATATAGAATCTCCTTTCATTATACAGAGTATTGTAAAAAAATTCAGTCACAAGACAAAAATGTTTGTACTAATTTTGATTCCAGGTCTTCATTTGGCATTTTCTTTAGTGAAAATATTAAATATTGTTAAATTAGTTCATAATTTTTATAGTTTTAAGGTTTTATTCATGTTAATGGGCAGTGTTATATGCATAAATTATAATCAAACTTTAACTATTCATTATTCTCGAAATATTGTAATTGGCATTAAGGAATTGTAGGCGAATTGATGTACTGTTTGCCGAGTGTTGCATCTGTAATTTTTAAAGAGATATTTTTCCTGCAGAATGAAATCATTTGATATAGAAGGTGGGAAGGTACTGGTAGTCCATCATAAAGGACAGTTATCAGCCATAGGTACGAAGTGTTCACATGCTGGAGCGCCACTAGAAAATGGAGCATTGTGTGGTGATAAAGTTCGATGCCCGTGGCACGGTGCCTGCTTCAGCTTGGTCACAGGTGAGAAGGCTGTTGTTTCATTTCTAGTGATGAATCTGTCGATGTATAATACAAGTGGTTGGATTTTCATATAAAGTAGGTCATTGGTGAAGATTTTGGGCTATAATTATTAATTTTAATAATTGGGTAACCCCATAAAGATTCATTACAGTGTTGTAATTTTTTGTTTGAGTAGGGCCAGGGTCCAGCGAGGCTACTGGCCACATATCATGCCATATTCATATGTTTCTATTTGTAAAAATGTTTGCATATCCAGCTTTGTGAGTAAAAAAATCATTTTATAACTTAAGTGTGTTTTATCATAACCATCTCCTTGTTGTGTCTTGGGTCTTACATTCAGACGTTATGCTCTTAATAGCTGAAACATTGTACAGTAGTGACAAAACCCATTTAGAATTGAGTAAATATTCATTTTTTTTTAAATAATAAAAAGAGTACCACCTCTGGCTGGAAGAAGGGGACCCTTAGCCTCGGAGGAATGTATGAATGTATTTTAAATGTATTTAAATGATGAAAGATAAAAATTTGTTAATTTCAGGTGATATTGAAGATTTCCCTGGCTTGGACAGCATACCAAAATATGACATTGAGGTTGTGAACAACGAGGTAAAAGTGAGAGCCAACAAGGCGCTTTTAGCCGCCGACAAGCGGATGAAGCCAATGACACGACGAGACCCAGATAATCCCACTAACTTTGTCATTGTTGGTGGAGGTTAGTTCAACCTCTTGACTTTCACATTTGTGTTTTGGCTCTTTAAGTTGTAAGCTAATAGGTTTACCCCAGCAATTTTATTTTGCATTATTTAGAAGTGTAATATGTTTTACTTGAGTATACCATAAATATTGTGCTTTCTTTCCATCATTTAGTCTTCAGTAAAGTAATGGACATGTTAATCCAAGTATGATTTTTGACATGCTACTTATCCTTAATTCCTAACTTTTGATGTCAGGAATTTAAATTCAATATTTATCAAAATATGATAGTCATATTTCAGCATTTCTCCAAAAGCCTGTCGTTAGATTTTGTCATATGGATTAGATGCAAGTTTCTTGATAGTAAGTAATGATAATGTGATACTAAAAGCTGCAAAATAACAAGGAGTTATTCTGGGGTCTGAACTAATGCCTAATGTGTAGCATAAAACAAAACTAGTACAGTAATGTCAAACTCTTCAAAAATTATTGTTTACCTGTGCAACACGTATGAAAGAAATGTAAATAAAAAAAAAAAGCTACATTGATTAACTACTGTACAATGAAATCACAATTGTATAATGCAGGGTATCTTTAAGAAAATTTATGACAAGTTGTTGAGTTGCTATAGAATTTGTTTGCATTGCATTCTAGTGCGGTGAATACCCAATCTGTTAACGGTTTGCACTGGATGCTACTGTAGTAGTTGTGTTGCATAATAAGGTAGTGTTAGAAGAACATTGAGTACTGTATAATAGATACAACATACTGTACATGTTGATATGAATACAATTTTGTACTTTCAAAATGAGTGTTATAATTTACCTGGGCAGGACCCAGCACTACGATGACACACATGTCTTGGGATGGAACTAAAACTTTGGCCACAGACACATTTTGGGTAATACAGTATAGTATATATATGAGAATTGCATTGACAGATTTTATTATGATGTAAATTTAATGATTTTATATAAATAAATTTGGCATGTAATTTACAAAAAAAGTCATAAAATTATTTTGTTCCACTAAGAAATTAGTAGATACAGTGCTGTTAATATATGTAGATACAAATGTAGAACAAATACATATAACTGTAGTATATACATTAACATACAAATAAAAACAAATAAACAAATAAATGTAGAACATAAATACATGTAGAAGAAATGGCTTGGAGGGGAAGGTGGTGATTCAGAGCAGGATATTATTCTTACAGCCGAGCAGGCCGTTGGTGTTGGATTACTTGGTTATAAGAAGGTTAGTCTTTTTAATCACTTAACTACTGTACTCCCATTTCTTTATTTTTGTCTATTTTTACAAATACATTAATATGGATTTTTTGCCACCATTTTACACCTTGATGGAACTTAATATCGCAATATTTTTTTTGGTTGTATGTGCTGTTCAGTGGGTTACTTTGCCTTAGCTGGGGCCTTTTACAGTAAACAAATTACCTTCCTTCCATTGCTATTAATTTTGGATGGAACATGTGTATTGCCTTATAATGGCTTTCATAGATGTTAGTGTTTTGTATAGATTAATGATACACAAATGAGAAAAGAATCATTCCTATGGTATCTATTTGCTTAAATGAGACTTAGTACCCATATAAGGCCATACAACAAATGTGCATGCGTATGTTTTCAAACTGATCCTCGGAAAGAAAAATTGTGCTATTTTTCTTTATTACAGTACATCATTATATACAGTACTGTATTGTATATATCGTCATTTTCACCAGGATGGCTTAACGGAATTGGCTTGAAACTTAATCTCTCAGGTTCTCAAGCTTTTGCAAGACTCCATCCTAACCTTTGCTTCTTTGCCAAAAAATGAAGCTTGCACCATTAAGATAGAAACCCTATGCATCATAGTTCGTGCCCTGTTGCTTCCTTATATCAGTACCGTATCTCCAGGCTTCTCGGCACACTCGAGCTACATCTCTCTTCTTGGATGCAACTACTATTATATCTTGTATTATGACCCATATCTTATGGCTGATTTGTAGTGTTAAAGCTGTAACAGTCACAAGTGTATCTTGTCTTGTCTCTTCTTAGCACCAGCATTACCACACAGGGAAGCTTAATAAGATTTCTTTAGTGTAGGTGTCAAATGTCACTGCAGTCTGACTTGAATAACTCATTCCTTTAGGCCCTGCCCAACCATTTGGGTTGGACGGTAGAATGACGGTGTCGCTTCATTTAGGTCTGCGTTCAATTCCCGACTGTCGAAGTGGTTGGGCACCATTTCTTCTTCCTGCCCCATCCTAAATCCTTATCCTAATCCCTTACAAGTGTTATATAATGGTAATGGCTTGGCACTCTCTCCTGATAGTTTCCTTTCCCTCCTTTAGGCCTTAGGAGGGGGGGGGGGGGGGAAGAAATCTGGGTAGAACAGCTTGGGGAAGAGATGATCATATTTACCTAAAGTCTGATGTTTTGTGATGGGCTTGCAGCTGTAAATAAAAAATAATTGTTTATTTTTTTTACCACATTGAATTTTGTTATTTGTAGTCAAAATTTGTTCATCCATATTGTTTTGGCAATTCATTAATTCTCGTGTTACTATTACTGTACTGTTTTAAACGTTGAAATTCATATTTTAGGAGGTGCGGGTGCGACCTGTGTGGAGAGACTAAGGCAGGAGGGTTTCACTGGTCGCGTGATAATGATCACGCAGGAATACCACCTACCGTATGACCGACCCAAACTCTCAAAAGCCATGGACCTCACCCCTGACAAAATCACACTAAGATCGCCTCATTTTTATGAGGTAGGAGGATTTCGATGGTTTGTTGTTGTGCTAAAAATGGATGGGGTGTAGGTGTTGACTTGGAATGTTAAAATCCATTGTTGTTGTGCTTTGAAAAAATGTTCTGAGGAAGTATGCATGCTAGTATCCAATGTATGGAGGTTTCAGGTCTCTCTTAACATATGAGCTTAGTGATTGGTGCTCAAGATGAATAAGGGTCTACATTATTCTTAAAATTTTTACAGTGATTTGAAATTGATTGTATTTTTTTCAGGCTTGATATGAGAAAGAAAATGCAGATAGTCGGCAATAGTTTCAGAACAGCTTTACATTTCATGTTTATAAATTAGATAATTAACTTTCCTTTCGATGACCATTGCATCCATTAAATGCAGTACTGTATTGAGGGCTTGTTAATATATTAAGGATTATATGATGTAGAAGGGATAGTACTAATTTTGAACATGGAAATAGATAAATTTGTCTTCAAATAACCATAACAGTGTTATAAGGTTGGTATTATGTAGAGGACTATGTCAAGGTTCCATCTTGACCAGGCAGAAAATATCTGGTTGTTTGGGGCCTGCTGGGCAAAAATACACTGCCTTGTTTCATGTACTCCAAGTTTGTCCAGAAGTGTAGCTGACAAAAGTAGAAAATGGTTCAAGTTTTGTTTCAGTTTACCCTAGTTGTTGTGTTATACGTCTATAGTACAAGCAGATAATACTCATTGCTTTTGCAAATACTAGTTTAAATCGGAATATTGTTGTCATTAAGTAGATTGAAGCTTGATCAATTTGTTGCCTTCAGATGTTGTTTAATAAATTTCAGAATGCTGATATTGAGATACTGCAGGGAGTATCAGCAGAGAATATAGACACAGAGGAGAAGGAGGTTTATCTCAATAGTGGGGAGAAGGTGCCATATGATAAACTCTTCATAGCTACAGGAGGAAAGTGAGTTACATTTTGTTTTATGGACATATGTTTTTCTCTTGTATTTTGATCAAGACTTGCCTTGGGCATCAACCGTGTGCTTGAATGGTTTGCTTGGGGGCTCATTTGAATTGCACAGTAGTTTAATTAAGAGAAACCTGTGATTACGAGGGAACTGCCAGCCGGTGGAGGTTAAATATGGTGGGTTGGCAATGAACAGCAATGTATATGAGGGACTGGTAGCCAATCTGCATAGTAGTACAATTTCTTACAAAACCAAGAGGAGTAGCAGACTATGCAAAATAACTGTGTTAAAAAAGGTGCAATAAGTAGCCTTAGACAATTCTGTAACATTAAAGGGCAAGGTCTGATAAACTGTTTTAATAGAGGGAACATTACTAACAGATCTGTGCTGAAAAGAGAAGTGGATAAATGCCTGTAAAGTGCTGTTGATCGACTGGGCTGTGATTACTATGTTGGGAGTGTGTATAGTAGCAACCAAGAATTTGGTTGATAAAGTGCTCAACCAGATTGGTGATCAAAGAATGGTTTGCTGGGGCACTAATTCCTAGCAGATTTCCCAGAACCAGCTCTGTGACTAAACTATTTCAGGTGTATAATTATTCAACACTAATTAGCAATGATAACAATAATTATCTTCAACCCCAGAGAGCATGTGACACCTTTATTTAAAATATTGAACATGCTAAATCTGAGGGCATTACACATAATCTCAAATATACAGTACTGTACTCTTATGAACAAATCCACAAGGGCCGTGACGAGGGTTTGAACCTACGCGTGGGATGTTCCCAGCTGCGCCTTAGTCAGTTGTGCCATGACACGGTGGCACATTTGTTCATATGATATATTACGCTATTGTGATTACTGTGTGTGCTGGACTCTATATTTTGAAAGTTCTAAAATGCAATACCAATCTTGTCCTTGTATGCTTCTTAGAGCGCTGGCACAGAACTCCTAAGATCCCCATAAGAAACAAACATGTTTTAGATGTTGCTATAGTTTGACTATATTTGTTGTTTTAAAAGTCAAATAATGTTATTGAAATGTTTCACCTGTATATTACAGCATTGTTATTGAAATTTCAGACCACGTAGGTTAGGTTGCCCAGGAGATGATCTCCCAGAAGTATTTGTTATTCGTACACCAGAAGATACAAATGGCCTTGCAGCAGCCGCCTCTGGCAAGCACGTAGTCATTGTTGGAACGTCATTCATTGGTATGATAATTTCTGTAGAAAAATAGTGGAGTTAGGACGTTTATAAATAAAAATTGTGTGGAATACGAAGGTTACATTTAATTGTAATCATTGGTTATTATTATTTAAAGTAATACAGTATTTCTTCATTGTTGTTTGCTTTTTTAATAGACAGACCTTCAAAAGTAGAAATAAAAGGTAGTGGTGCTATCATAAAATCACTGTACTGTAATTAATTTGCAAAGTAGGCATAGAAACCAATACACATATTGTACAAGTCGGTAATGTTTGCTATCCTGTAGGAATGGAGACGGCAGCATATTTGGCTAGCAATAATCGTGCAGCATCGGTGAGGGTGATTGGAAATTCGTCTGTACCATTTGAACGCAGTCTCGGCGCTGTTGTAGGAAAACGCATCCAGGAGTTGTTTGAAGAAAATGGAGTAAAGTTTTTCAACAACACAGGGGTGACAGAGTTCACAGACGAAAATGGTAAACTTAATGGGGTGAGTAACATGTACGACAAATTTAAGTTTGGATATTGCTGTAATATTGTATCTTGCACTACAGTAGCATGTGGTAATTTTTGTGTTGTCTTTATTCCAGCCCTGCTTTTCCTTGCTGCCTTGATAATTATTGAGTAACCATATATAATTTCAGGTTCTGCTAGACACTGAAGAAATGATTGCAGCGGATATTGCTGTAGTGGGTGTAGGGGTCGTACCAAATACGGAATTCCTGGAATCTTCAAATATTTCTCGTGATGAGCGGGGTTACGTCCCAGTCAATGAGGTATACACTCTGATATTATTTATGCTTTAATTTGCATTTATAAATATTCTGTCAAGCATTGGCTGTAAGTATATACTTGTAGCTTGAACACATATACTGTAGCTCTCAAGACTTGAGCACAATTGGTTAGTATGTGTGATGGCAAATCTTTGAAGATATACTAAATCGAATCCTATATGCGAAGTGAAATAAATGAACGGGAATATTTAAAAAATAGCTGACCCACTTTACATTTGACAACAAAAAAAGATTCATGTCAAATTAGAATTGACCAAATTAACATGCATGTTGTAATTCAGGTATTGAATGAACTTATATGGCATGTGTATGTTGTTTTGTAAAAGCATTTTATTAAATAATATTTAAAATTGTAAATGAGAGGAGATGATAAGGCGTTAAAATTATTTGCAAATGTCACTTGTGTAAATAAAAGGTGAGAAAACTCAAATAGAAAGTGAACAAGTAGCAAAAGGTTAGTGAATTATGCATTTTACTGAATTCATCCCAGCATTGTTGCTTTTGTAAGATAGGTATCATTAAAAAAATGTTTAGGCTCCCATGATTGACCTGATGGCTAAATGTCAACAATAACAAATAAAAGATACAAGTAGTGTATATAAGTTAATTAACAAATATATTGTTGTTGTTTATCCAGTTAATAAATGTAATAATATTTATAAATATTGTATGAGGAGCATTTAATTGCAGTTGATATTGGCTGATCCTGTTGCTTGACTGTGTGCCTGAAGTTTCACAATGATATTGGTATCATTTAACTTTATAAATTAATTTCATTTCAGTATTTAGAAAGCAGTGTACGAGGCGTGTTTTGTGGGGGCGATATTGCTGCTTTTCCGTTGTTCATTGAAGATGGTGCGTCGGTGGCTATTAGTCATTGGCAGGTGGCACTGGGTCATGGTCGCACAGCTGCACTCAATATGTTAGACCAGAATGTAGCGCTTGGATCCGTCCCATTCTTTTGGACTGTGTTTTTTGGCAAAAGTCTTCGCTATACAGGTACTGTATCTCTGCATGTTTTTCTTTTATTGTCCTTGCCACTAATGTGAAATTGTTTAAAATGTGTACTGCTTATACCAACTGGAAATGGCTGAAACACTGTGTTAATGACTTTACAAGAATATAAAAACATCAATGGTATGTACTCTCATAAACCCAGTGTACCTTGTTATATATATATATATACAAGTAAATAAACTCTGAGGAAGAGCAGGCAATGTGACAAGGGCAGCCAGAGAAAGGGGTGGGCAAGAGAGAAGTTGTTCTGACCCACCCAGTCAAGGAGAACAGCCATAGCCCTATTTTCAGCACACTGCTTTAAGGGAAGAAAGCCACTGGAAAGAATATTTAACCCTCAAACCGCTAGGGGCCCAAATGGAATTCGCACCCACAGGCGCCAAAAAAAAAAAAAATTTTCGTCTTATAGAAGTGTTCATTTTTGTTCCGTGATCACGGAAAAAATAACAAAAAAATCGTAGGTGGCATATTTTAGCGGGAATAGGGTAGGGAAGTGTGGCAAAAAAGGGGTGTTGGCAGAGCCTTTGCCAGACGAGGTCTACTCCGCCCGAGCTGTCAGACGGCACAAATATATTACGACCTAATTATTTCAATGTGTCCGATTGATTTTTTTTTATGAGTTTTTTGCAGTAATATTATTCCATACAGTGAATTGTGGTATATTTATATTATAAAATGTGTGAACCATTGTTGTAATCAAAATTGTGGTGTGCATATTAGTGAATCAAATATTATGTTCATAAAACAATAAACAAATAGTTTTGCTGTTGTTACACTATATACACAGGTTATATATAAGTATCTGCATGTTTTGCACACCATAACGAAGTACTAAGTTGGTCTTGTGAGTGAAAAAGCAACGAGGAGTGACCGGCAAACACCAGCGAGGCACTCGCTGCCACTCCCTCCCTCAACACCACCTCACTCATCCTCATTTACCTCGCACAATACTCTGTGTATTTATTCACTATACAGAGATGTTATATATACGTATTTACATGTTTTGTTCACCATAACTGTACATGTAAGGTTGTATGGCGAGTAAAGGCCATAAGACGTAGCTACTCACAGAGTCACCTGATCGGCAGCCGCCCTGAAGGCCAGACGCACTAATATTTGTCCTTGAACAATATTGTTTGTGGTGTTATTACGCTATATAGACACATTATATATAAGTATCTACCTGTTTTATTCACCATACGTGAAAAAAGAAGCTGGTATGGTGGGCAAAGAGCATAGTGGCCATCAGTAAACAACATGCAAAGTCGTGCAGACGACGCTCCTCCATCAGCAAAATGGCGGCTCTGAACCTAGTCCTCTCGCTGTTATCTGACACTATACACACGTTATATATTAGTACGTACATTTGTGTTCACCACGGCGAAGCACTAAGCTGGTATGGCGAGTGCAGTTAATAAATGGTGGGCACACACACAGTCAGAAAACGACACGACAACCCTCCCTCCCACAGGATTACTCCTCCCTCCATGGAGCACAGCGCTAAATATCAGCACAATCCTGGTCAGTTTTATCAGTGATGGGGCTTCAGTAATACTATGACTGGTAAATAATAGGAGTATTATTTATATTATGGTATTTGTAGGCGATGCTGTGGTCAGAAGGTGAACAGCAGTGCCGTGAGGTAGCCTTGGTGGCTTGCTCAATACTGACGGTGTAACATGCAAGAATGTTTGGCTGGAATTATTTTCTAGGTGTCATCTGGCAACTATCGGTCGTGGCTGTACTATAGCTGCCCCTATCCCAGGCGGGGCGTTTAAATTATAGCGCTAGAGACGAAATGATATATAAATGACGTGCGCGGTTTGAGGGTTAAGAGACCGACTAACAACGGGGCACCAGTCAATTTAACTGTAAAGTAGCACCGAGTTGTAACTAAGTAGCAGAGTTAGTGTACCACCAGATAAGCACAACATTTGTCACGTTGTTGTAATTGGCTATCCTGTGTACCCAATACTCCATGGCAAAGGTATCCATCGTTTTGATGTTCCTTTGTGGCATAGCCAACAGTAAGCCTTTATGATAAGATTAAGCTGTACTTGTCATGCATTCCCATGTCAGAGCTGTGGGGAAAAGATGTTTATATAAGTTACTTGTCACGGTGGGGCTTGGTCGCTTAGGGACTGTTTTATGAGCAGTGGCGTGTGATTTGGACAAGTTAGTCATGTTCATTGTGAAAATAAATGTATATAAATGATGTCTAGAAGGTTTGAGGGTGTCTGTAATTGTTCACTACATTACTTTAGCATATAATTTTGGAAAGTATTAATGGAAAGTAGAGAAAGTGTAGCCATCGAGTTGAAATTTTGGGAACATTTTCATATTAAAATGTAATGTTGAATTGGCTTTGCAGTTTCTGAATCATTGATGATTTGTAATTGTCCAAAACATAACATTTAATATAATGTAATGCATTTATAAATTTCAGGTTATGGAATGTATGATGACGTTATCATTGGAGGAGACCTAGAGAGCCTGTCCTTTATAGCTTACTACTGCCGTGGCGATCGTGTGGTGGCCTTAGCCAGCCTCGGTAGAGACCCGGCCGCTGCTAAATACGCCGAAATGCTCCAACAAGGAAAATTCCTCACAAAGGAGCAAGTTGCTGATGATGGAGATTGTGCACTGAAGTTGAATTGTTGATCTTGGAAATAAATGAAAGGAAGAAAGTGGTGTGGTGTGAGTGGCTTACCTCAAGTTGTGGAAGCTAGCTGGCGATGTTGTTTTGAGAATGTGTAAAACATATGGGTTGACGTGAGTTAGTAATATGCAATGTTGTTAAGGGACCAGTTATATATAGAGAGATTAAAAAGTCATTTGAAGGTTTAATAATGGGAATAAATTTGTTATTGTTGTTTGTGTAAAGGGCGCATTTACTGATGATAAATGGGATATATTGTTTGTTAATGATGTCATTGTTGCTGGTGGTAGAAATAACGTGTATGATTTGTTAATGTTGTGTAATAGTTTCCTAAGGTGTGGTATAAGTGATAGTGTTGGGGAGTTGTGTGCTCCAAGTCGAATGAAAACAATAGCTTTAATAAGTAATTGGAAGAGTGTATGGTATTAACTTGTGGTGTACTGCAATCATTTTATCAAGATATGTGTGTGGCTGAAGTATAGTATGGTGTTGGGACATAAGAGATAGTTAGGTGTGTAATTGTAAGCAAAGTATGAGCTTGCTCAATTGATTTGATAATTGGCATTAACCATCCCCCATATTCAGTGGTATATTCCTTTGGAAGCACCAAGTGGTTTGTTAACGTGGAGAGTAATATGCAAATTTGTTTGAAGGGGATGTACAGTAAAAGAAAAAAAAGAAAGTGGTTGAGAGTCAGTGTGTGTAAACGTTTTGGATAGAATGTGTTAAGACAAAAAGTGGGTAATTGCAATTGGTAGTGTATTAGTTTTGTGATGATGAACTATCGTTCACTACTGGCAGTGCTGTTGCTGCAGAAAATATTTTTATTTTTGTTCATTTAGCAGTTAGTTTTTACACTGTAAAATCATTTAATTTTGATGATAAGTTATTGTTACCAGGTCTGTTTCAGTACTATTTGTTTCCGTTCCCTCTTCAAGGAATGCATACAATTTCCAATACTGGTGTTAAGTTTGCAGACATGTACATATAATGTGAGGGTGGGTATTATTGAAAGTAGTGGTGTACTATGTGCATTTTCTGAGGTACCTGATGGAGTTTATTTCATAAATTAATCAATCAACTATAATGTGAAAGATATGTGGATGGAGATCATTATGAGTTATAGAGAATGTTTTGTCATGAAAGTGTACTGTGTGAAATAAAGTATTGATTAGAACGGTAGACATGTGCATGCATACTGAGTAAATAATAGTTAAATGGCAGAACCCCTAAGTTGAATCTCCAGCGTAGCAAATGTTTCAATACTTGCATGTACACTCCCCTTCCGGCCTGTTGGCGTCGTGAGGGGGCTTGGTGGACGGCTGCCGGAGTGTGATGCTCCGTTGGACTGTCCTTTTCTGGCCTTGCACTCCTGCTGCTGTGTTCCTTTTGTTTCGTTTTTCTCCCCCCCCCTCTGCTTGTTTTGGAATATTTCTTTGGACTTGTTGTATTTTGACGCCCGGGTGCTCGAGGAGGCATACTCTTGCGCCGTAGAACTGTAGTACCCGACGTCTCGAGTGAGGGGAACGTTTTATTGTCAATCCCCCTTTCGTCGCTGAACCCGATCTCGACGGACTGACGACGCACCCCTAGGGGTCCCCGGCGATAGCTTCCTGTTGGGTGTCCTGCCTTTAATTGTGGCACATTCGTGGATGAATGTGTCACTTTTCGTGTGTATGTTTCCGTTGTACCTCTCAGGCTCGTGGGGTGGGCGACCAAGCCCCCGAGTCAGAGTCAGCCTGTATTGGAAGACCCGGCTCTGTAGCTCCCTTTGACCGTCCTGACTTCTTCCCCCCAGCTCCCCTCCCTCCTCTGAGGTTGGTCGAGCCTCCAGCCACCGGTGGTGACCACTGCGCCTTTTGACCCCTCTCTAGGGGTTCTCAACGCCGTTCGCGCCCCAACCGCACTCGCTCGATTCCTTCTCGTGCTGATGCGTATCAGGCCTTGTTTGATCTCCTCCCTCTCGATTCTGCGCCCCCTGACGATTTCCCCCTCCATCGGCATCTTGTAGATTGCGTGTGTTACTTTCAACCCCACTCGGTACACGCGTCGTTGCTGCTCCTTCTTCTCAGGATGCGGCTTTGGTGTTGGCACTAGTCCCCCCCCCCCCCAATGTTGCAACCGGTGTTTTGGCATATCCTTGATGCCCAAGGCCATTCTGCCCTCCAGGTTGACTCGTGGTCGCCGTCAACCCCTTCGCGTTGTGAAGATCACCTTTGATGGTAGGACCTTCCATCCTGTCATTGTTGCTAGGTGCTCTTGGACAGAGTATATTCCTTCTCCTCGACTTTGTAATAAGTGCTGAGGTTTGGGCATGGTGCCCTCAGCTGCTCTGGGAGTGAAGGTCACTCTAAGTCGGAGTGCTCGGTGGCTCAACTGCGGTGAGGCCACCATCCTACGTTCTCCCGTGGCTGTGTCCATTACAAGCTTGAGGCGCCCGTCCTGAACCTGAAGCGTTTTCCTGAGGCGCCAGGTTCCGCCTTATACTAACTAACACTCTTCCTCTGACTCTCAACCGTTTCCGGCCCGCCCCCTCTCTGTTCCCGAGGGGTCATGTCTCGTGTGTTTTTCCTCGTCCCCCTACATCTATGTGCTGTCCCTGTCGGATGTCCGTCGTCTCCTCGTGTTGAGACACTGGAATCGTTGCCCGGTACGTAGTTGCTGGGACAGTCTCTTTAATTCAGAAGCGTAAGCCTGGCTCCTGTTCCCCGGCGGGTAAGTGAAACTGTGATATTCTTTAACTTGATCTTTCGCCTTTGTTTCTCCATTCTTGAATGGTACACAAACTGTGTGTACGTACCATGGGTTCAGTTTGTTGTGGTCTTCTATTCGTGGCTCCATTATGAGATGCTTCGCCATCTCCCTAAATACTGTAATCAGATGTGGGAGTCGTCGGACCTGAGGACTGGCTCGATGCCGTACTTCACCGGTGTCAGGGAGTACGCCCCTAATGTGGTAGGACAGGACCGCTACTGTCATGCAACATAGCTCATCTCGCTCGCTCTGTCGTGCTTTAAATTTACTCCTGCGTTTCATGTTAACCGACAGAAAGAGGTGGTGATCCTGCAGGCTTCTCTTTGCGTTTCTCCACGTGTTGTACATCTTATCACTAAAGGTTTCACTAGTATCTGTACAGCGGAACGCTATTGTCCTATGTCCTTAAATGTACTGTGAACCACTGATTACAGTCGGTTCAGCATGGTGTGTAATGACCGTTCTTGTCCCATCCTAGTAATGTCATTACTATATTTTTTTTTACCAGTATCTTACGGTCACCTCCAACTACATGAAGGTGTTTATGGAGATCAATGCATAGTGGAATTGAGCTGAAAGTTTATCAAAATCACACTATTCTTTTATAACTCAATTTGTACTGCTGGCTTACGATATGATATCGACACGATACATTGGCATCTAAAATTTGTGCTTGGTTAGACTAGCTGACTTATCTGATGCCAGTACCTGTGTCTTTACAGACTCAGCAAGTGACCTATTCCTATGATATCGAGACTCCGCACATGTCACTTTCAAGGTTGACCTGTGTAGCCAATTCTTTCCTGGACTACACAGTTTAAAGGGGGCGCCTTCCACAAATATTATATAGTGCAGGCTCCTACCTCGGGTTGAAGAACTTGTACATACATCGATTCTAACACTGACGTGTGTCCGTCTCCATGTACACTATTTACGTGTATAAAGCATATTATTGCTCTGGAATATGGACTCCAATACGATTATGTGTTCACTATCGAATTAAATATCTGTGCCTTTATGAATGTGATTTGACAATAAAAAAAGTACTTGCATAGAGCTTGTTAAAAAACCTTCATAGGTGCATAACTACCACCGATTTCACAACAATTTCTATACATGAGCCTCAACGTTATTTTTCCCGGTGCACAGAGTCCTGTGCACTTTAACGCCCTGTGCATCAGATTGATATTCCTCTCCGAGATCGCAACATTCTAATTAGGTCAATAAACAACCTTTCAGACACCTTTACATGTAGAGTATACGCCGGATGCCCGTGTACTCATTTCCTCCCCATCTTTATACTTTAAATATTTGCCAATACAATTACCCTTCTTAATAAGGATCATTAATACTATTCAATTTATATTACCTTTATTACTATCCACAACTTATAAAATACCATTCAACTCTTTACGCGCTATCCATCTATTTAGTCTTACCGTTTCGCAACACAACCTCACTCATAACACGATCATTATGGACCACAAATTCATTCTACATTTCCCACCGTTCTTTCTTCGGCGACCTCACTATGTACTCATTTATCAAGCCTCCCCGAAATATAACATGACTGACTCACACCCACAATATTCAACTAATGTCCAAGCTGACTTCAAAATACTGTATCACGACCACCTACGCTCAATCTTAAACATGAATAATGTTGCATACCGATTCCAAAAACAATACTCACTTTAACCTACGTACCACAAAATACATGCTCCATCCTGCAATAACCCATGGACACTTGCCTTATGTACCCTCTGACTTTACGAACATTTTTTAAAACATTTACCGAAAATTATTAATGTACATGCGCACAATATTACATTCTTAGTAATACCACATTCGCCCAATTTCTCTAACATCAAACTATTTACCCTACATGTCTATTTAAAGCTCACTTTTTTTTCCCCTCATTCACCAAAAACGTAAACTAAATACTATTCAATCAAAAAACATTACCAACTCGACAATTACTATAGTACTAGACTGTCTTACACAAATATTCCATCCACCCTTTTATTATATAACACTTCACAACTACCTATAGTGTATACATCAAATAACTACTTTCACGTGGAAACTCATGATATTTACCTTCCCCCTAACCTCCAATCACGTCTTAAACATATCAATAATACCTAACTAGACGCGAACTCACAACTACCCTAACCAACGTACTACACATCAAGCCTATCATGTACAATCAATTATCTTAACCAACACACATCTACGTAATGTCAATTTCTCTTTCAAGTGTCTTGTATACAACATTCAATTAATACTCTCGCCAACATCTGCATTAACATACACACTCATCACCTTCATTCCAACCTACACAGTTCACTTGTGCTTCTTCCCTACCAAAACCACAATCAACGTACTCCCCATATTTACACTATTCACAACATTTTCAACCTGACGCCCACCTGTTCCAACAACGGACAAGTTACTTCATCAACCCTATATCATAACTTATACTACCGTTACAATTTCGTCTCTAATACTCGTAACAACCAATTTTAACCCTGTCAACGTCACCCACATGTTGACTAACAACTCACTTTACATACAGCTTGTTTTATCAACAAAACATACTAAACCTATTTACCTCTACTCTTATAATGTAACTACCCCAACAAATTCTTTCATCCTAAACTACCTCTCCATTTCTTTAACTTCATTTACGTTTTAAATCACAACTAATGCAACCATTCAAACTAATTTTTTTTTTTTTTTTTAATACCTTATTCAATTTCACCTATTAAATATCAGTTTCATTACCATATTTGACAACACATTTTATGTCAATACTCTACTACTGACATTAAACTATTCTCACTCCACAGCTTCGCAGATTCCATCATCGACGTCCCCACAACAACAACGTTTATGAAGACCACGTCTCCGACAGTACGCTAACCACAAGTCACTTCACGACTCTCAATATCCACATCTTCAATGATACTTCATCGACTCTCCACTCCTGAAACAAAAATTATTGTTAGTCACAATACAATACCTAAAATTTTTTTTTTTTTTTTTTTCCTCTATTTTAGGACTGAATACTTTTCAGGACTAAAATAGTCTCAGCGTAAATACCCACAACACGGGGTATACACTTTTTTTTGGCCCCTAGATAACATTTTAACAGAGTATAAACACGCAGTAACCTAGAGGTGTGTTGGCCCCAGCGGCCCACCAACATTACAGACATAGAGCAACACACCACTAACACCGCCTCCCTATACTACCGTACTCCCATGTTTCTAGGGCCAAAATAACGCTCCGCTGCGCCTCATCCACCAACTCGACTCAACAGCCAATCACATTGACCTCTTTCAACTGACGTCACATTCTCTATCTCTACTCTCATTGGTCGCCTCCATCTAATTCCATACCACACTAAGTCATGCCATTTATTTAGTCATACTCAATTATATACAATCAATGGTTAACCCGCTTATCGCTTTTGACACACTCACTTTACTTTGGTCATACACTTTATTTAGCACAACAACTATCCATGCTGCTTGGTCAACATTTGTACTCACTTTACTACCCATCCCCTACATTAACAACAACACGATACTTATAACTATTTCTTCACTATATTACGCTCCCCCTCCTTATAAATATACATTAAATGTTCATTAATACAGCCTGCAAATAAACATTTCTATGCAAATCTATTATTTTCACTCTTTTATTTATTTATTTATATACAAGAAGGTACATTCGACTCAAAACTGATGATTTTCAAACACTTCGCCAACAACTCATTCCAGACCATTTTCCTTCAAACCAAACACTATCAATGATTCAACGACGTCAACACAACAACTATCGAAATATCTACATTATTCCACAATATGAATATTTATTTACATTTTCAGATTATGAATATACACAAGCTTACAAGTGATGAAGGAGTCACCGGCTACATGGAACGGGACCTGATCGAAGCACGGGTTCATTACCATTATTCGCAAACTAAACCTACCCATTCCCTCTACATGCACACTATACTAATATATAACATTATTTATATCTGAAAACACACCTATTTCCAACGAACGCCATGTTAAATATCATCATTGCGTCTTTGTCACCGACCGCTGCATGTATTCCCCTTCTCCTCATGTATTTAAACCCCTCTCATGCCGGATTCAAACTACATATTCTTGCAAACACAACTTCAGCACTTATCTTTATATATTTCTGCCATTCCTATCCAATTGTTCTTTGTTATATGCAGTCATCAACACGTTTCAAATGATGCTCGTTTCTGATTCTTATTTATGAACATACTAATGTCATATTGTTCATTAAAAACAATCCTAATTACAAATTAACCTAACTACACATTGCCTATTGGCCCATACATTGATTCATAAATATTAAGCCACTCAAAGGGTGGCACGCCCATCAATACGCAGTAAATTGCCCCATACGAGCCACCTATTTATATCACAACGATACGCTGCCCGAAACGCTGTGTGTCATCGTCGCTTTACAACAATGTCAAAATTTAATTCTCTCTACTATCATAAACCCACTCTACCTTCTTATGTATAAATCAAGTCCTACATAACATATCAAACCAATCACATTCATATATATGTCTAACCTATGCATCAAACCATCTCACTTCTATTATAACAACATCACAACAAAGCTAACTGCACAAGGCCTATTGCCATATACAAGACACATCCTATTTATAACCCACCAATCCCACTCATAGATCCACGTCTCCAATCCACGCTTCACATACTCAATGCACCACACATTCACAAACTATGTTTCTATTTATTATTATTAACATCTTTATTGACAAAATTAATTACAATTTTGCCTAATCTGAGGATTTTGATAGTCTTATTAAATTGAGGTTCTTATACACATAACAAACACCAACATCATTATATGATGCAGTCTCAAAACATACCTCAATTTGGACACAATTCTATAACAACCCTTCAACAGATGTGTCAATATCTCATTCTAAATCATCTCCTAATACATTTCTTATTAAAATATCCAAACTTTACTTACTCTAAGTAGTAATTAAGTGATTGTAACCTATCCAAACCTCCCCACTGGATGGGGGGGCTGTGTGCACAACAAACTTATCATTTCTAACACTACCTCTCCACATGTCACTTCCTTATTTTATAAACTGTACTTGAGGACGATCTTCAACCCATTCATGACGTCACATTGTCCTTTCAATTTCTTAACTACCTCATCAACATTGTAACTTGCTTACCTATATCATTTCTGGCCTTCACTCCCTCAGCCCATTATGTGCTTCTATAACATTTTCCACTACCCCCAACAACATGGGTAGTGGAAAATGAAACATAACAAATGAACTACACTTACCTAACATCCTGTCTCCGTCTCTCCAAGGTACTACTCCTCGAGCGGCTGCTGCTGCTCGAGTATAACTCTCAAAACGAGTCTTGTACAACGTCACCCGCTTCCCACCTCCTTCCTACACCAACTCTACACCACCAACCTCTTCACTTCTGCCTAATACAGCACCTATGTTAACCATCAATTTCATAACCTTATAACTCTCTTATCGTAAACTCCTCCTCCTCACACCTTCACAGCCACACAGTAAGGAACGCAACTAAGACCGTCTACGTGTACTAAGGAACATCTACAACGACAACATAACACGACATTGCCTCTCACCACCTCAAGTCTCTCACGTGACACCACCTTCTCATGTTGATGCCTCTCGTCGCTCTTCCCTCTCAAGCCTTCCTACTTGCGAACCTGCACACTGAACAGTGCTACCTTCAACACTGCCACTGTATCCTGAGAATGGATATAGGCTTCACAACTACTCACTCCATGTATATGCGCTCCACTAACACCCATCGGATGGGTATCCGGCCCACTACCACCGGTAGCGTGTCAATTGGGGTCCACTACCACCCATAGGATGAGTATGCCGCCCACAGGATGGGTATGGCTTCCACTACCACACAAAGGATAAGTATGGAGTCCACTACCGCCTATATCTGTGCGCTGGTGCACCCCATACCCATCCTAGGAGTGGTAATGGACCACATACCCATCCTGTGGGTGGTAGTGATCCCTATACCCATCCTGTGGCCAATACTGGACCCCATAACCATCCAACACTACTCTTAGACCACATACCTTTCCGTTTTGGGTTGTAGTGCACCACATAAACATCGTCTCACTTGTTGTACACCCTTTTTCTACATGGTGTGCAGTAGTGCACTCCGAGATATTCCAACGTCACATCGTTTCTCTTCCCGTTCCGACAACCCATTCTCTAACATTTTCAAAGGATACACTATTATATATAATCTTCTTTACCGAACGCATCATTATTATATGTAATGACTTTTCAGTGGTTATTATCATTTCATGACAAACACCAGGGTTTCTCTTAATTGCAAACCTTTACCAAATCAACTATAGCATAATGGTGTTATTCATGGGTTGAAACATTTGCGGACACACATTGCAAACATTATAACTTCTTTCCCACTCTTTTTCCAGTCGAGAGTAAACTATTTGACTAAACACACCATTTATCAGCCAACAGATATCATTTTCGCTGACCACTTCACTACAATCTTAGTTATTAAACCTTAAAATCATCAACAATACTAAAATAAACACCCATACGTGGTAGCTATGTATACCATACGTGAACTATATTTATTATTTAATATTTATTGTTAGTTATTATTTAACGTTGCCTCAAGTCAACTACATTTTCTGGACATTCTCGGAATATTGCTGCGCTCAGGCTCTTCAGAGGCAATCACCCATGATAATCTCTCCCAGCCTTACGACCAAATAATTTACCTAAATTTGGAACACTCGGCTCAGTTCCACAACGTCTCTGTCCCATCCTCTGTATTCCACAAGGCCGATTTACTGACAATTCCCAAAATGTATGAACTCTATAATATTTTGATTGCCTTGGTAATTACATTTTTCACATATATTATCCAATACCCATCGGGTGTTTCAGGGTCGGGTGCAGAATACACGTGAGAGTGCAGAGTACATGTACTGGTACGTGGTATATGTGCTTGTACGTAGTATGTGTGCTGATACAGGGTACATATAATTCATTATGTCCCCCGAAATGATCCCTTCCCAGCGACCACGATGGCACACCGAGCCTCGAACTCGCCACACACATCGACCACTTCACCAACCCACAATTCAGCTTCCACCACCCACGACCAACCCGCACCTCGCTGCGATTCCCCACCTGCAACACCGCCATCCAATCCTTCGACAAACACACCGGAACCGTCCGCAACGAGAAAACCGACCCATCCCCAGTAGGCACGTAAAAACCATCAACCCGAGAGCAAAGGCGTACTCAAAAGGACACCCTTGCAACACACCCGCAACTCTCTAATGTAGCAACCAAAGCCCCCGAAATATTGCCGGGACGAACACTGTTGCTATCCCGCGCCGACGTAATACAATTCACAGGCCCGCCCCCCCCCCCCCACGAAATCATCTCCCGCGTAATGTGCCGCAAAAAATGCAGCACCTCCCGTTCCACCCTCCGCGCCGCCCCAGACGGCGCATACACATTCAAGGATCACCTCAGACCCCAAAAATGAGACCCAAACCAACAGCAACCAACCAACCATTCTCATCCGTTTCCCTGAGAACCACGAAGATTGGAACCCACTTCGATAGCAGCATCAGCGTACCCTCACGCGAACGGTTCAACACCACCGTAAAACCCTCAACCAACACCTGCGACAACTCCACCTCCCACATATTGTGCTCCTGCACAAAAGCCACATCCACTCACGCAGCATTGACACCAGTCCCAGCCACAGAACCCAAACCATTCCCATTCACTGAAGCACACCTCAATTTAGGATCCATTTCGGAAAACACAACAACTACCTAACTACAATACCGTCACACCGGCTTGCCCGACACCCTCGTCCAGGGAAGCAACAGCAGCTGCTGCCACTGGCACCCCAGCCAACTAAGGCACACTCTCCACAAGGGAAGGACGGGAGGGACACATTTCTTTGGCAACATTACCACAAGGCCGCGATAATCACTGCCACGGTTCACCCGATCCACCTCCTCCCACTCCAGGCTCCGCACCCCAGGCGAGCCACTTGAGAGACCACCAGGGGGTTCCACAACACACCCTCCATCCCCCACTACCCATGGGGCCACTACTGATACCACCATATCCTCACTATCACATACACCAGCACCAGACTCCAACCTCCGCACCAAAGGCCCCAAATCCCCCGAACGACCACTCCTGCCCGTCTTCCGCCGCTGCAGCTGAGAACCAGGTTGACCAGGAACCGCAGAGGCTCAAGGACAACGAGAGGGGCGACCCCCATCCAACGACACATTCGGCTCCACACCCATGGCACAAGTACACACCGCTCCGGGTGCACCACAACCCCGTGCAACATCACCCACCGGTGACAAAACAGGGCCACGTCCCACCGAAGCTTCAATATCCACGGCGACAGCAACCTAAGGAGGAGGATGTACCGCCACATGCCTCATCACTGCACAATCGCCCACACCAGTGGGTAGGGGCCCCACAGACACCGGACTCGGCACCGGCACCACAGCACCCGTGGGGCGCACCGCACCCATAACACCACACACACACTAACACACTGTAGAATATCCTCACCCAACTTTGCGAAAGAAATTGGGAGGGGGGGGGGGATGAGGGGATGGGGGCACGGAGCAAGAAACAGAGAAAAAGTTAGAAAGCAGGGATGGAACAAGGAAATCTGGGGGTGGGGGGAGGAGGAGAAGGAGATAGAGAAGACTGGGTAATGCTTGAGAAAGAGTGACTGGCCAAAGTTGCAAGCCAGAGCCTTGGGGGGACTAGTGTTACCAAACTTTGCACGGTAATTCACGTTATCCTATACAATCCTTTTGCTCTTACCTTTCAGTACTTTTTATATCTTACTTTTCCACATTGAATACTTCAAATAGCTCGTTTTCTGCGAAAGCAAGCCGAATAGGCCATAACAACGGGTTGTGTAATAGAGAAAACTATCTCATAGCTTTCAAACGAGTTAAACGTCTTACGCTCCTGTACCCTTCAGTGTAAATCAATAAATACATAACGAAATAACGATATCCAAGTGTCCCGTCAGAGCGGCCAAACAAGTAATCACAGGTACTTACCGCAGGCTCGGTGAGATACTTCACGGACCTCTACACAACATTCCGTCACACACACAACTGCCGTCACTGGCGGAATGTGTGTATATACATATATACACTATATATATACTCACACACATAGTGTATACTGTATAGCATAAAAAGGCGAGGAGTCACAATAACGTGGCTGAAGTATGTTGACCACACCACACACTAGAAAGCGAGAGGACGACGACCTTTCAGTCCGTCCTGGACCATTCTCAAGTCGATTGTTATTCTCACAATCGACTTGACAATGGTCCACGACGGACCGAAACGTCGTCGTCCCTTCACTTTCTACTGTCTGCTTTGGTCAACATGTATAGCATAAAGGTTATTCAAAAGCAATTGGTTGTCAATTATTTATTATGAGAAAATAGAGGTCTGGATTCATCGAATGACCAAAGGAACACATAACACAATTTTTGAACTGCCTATTACAATGACAGATTGACTAGTTGCTACCCTGATGATGTAGATAATGGGCGAGATAAATTGCCGACTGTGTACTTCTGTACTATATCTGGACTGCTGTAGATCTATATTTTCTATGTGCATGGAGATTGCCACGTTCATCATGAGTAAAAACAATGTTATTGATACACTGTTGTCTTGAGGTAACTTGTACAATACGATATTGTCTTCAAACATTTATAAAATGTATTTATATTGACTAGTATGGATTAGTAAAACATTTCAATTTCAGTAGCACAAAGTGCAATCTTACAGATTTTCGGTATGTATATATAAAGTATATATTATATATATATATATAATACATATTATATATTTATGCCTTACCTGATTATGAAGGAGGAATATAACTATCATTAAACTATGAAGATGATATTGGCTATGTAAACTCTTTCGTACTAATAAACATATTATTCTTGAACACAAGATCCGTGTGTGATATCACTCACAGTGTTGTGAGAGGTCAAAGTGACTATTATGCAGCAGTGGTGGACATGTCTCTGGACACAGCCTCTACCCCACAAGAAAATATATAACCGACATTTGAATCCCTTTTCTGTATGTTGTGTAATAAGCTTGATATCTTTCCTGGACCGTCTCAGAGATTTCTTTATTATCGTTTTATGCAAATAATGAAATCTATTATATAATATACACTGGCCTGGGACTTTGGTGCGGCTGTTATCATTATTTCTTTTTTTTTTAGTTCAAAAGGGATGATTATTAGTACTACTCATCATTCTTAACGCTGTGTAAACCATTACACCTTTTATGATTACTATTCTGGGGTCTGGGTCCTTGCATGCTGGACTCCACCTAGTTACCGTAAGCATGTACTTACCCAAGTTACGAGTCTATGGTGTTAAATTGATTCTCAGATTACAGTAATTGAATACTGTTTTTAAATTTATGGGATATAAATCGTTATACCCTTCAAGACTTAGAACTCAGGGACTCTCGAGTTTATATAGGAATCAGTCACTGTGGATGGAGCTGTTTCGTCTCTGATACAATGTTCCCCCAGGGATGGTCTTGAGGGAGGGAGCTTGGGTGGCTGAGGGTCTCAGGAGTGGCTGGTGAGGGTCTTTGAATGTCGTGTGGGTATCGGCATGTGGGTGTCTACATTTATCGGTGTAGATAGAGAGTGATGCCGCTGGGAGTGGCCGGTGTTACTGAGGAGCTGAACCAGAGGTGACTGTCGCGTTAACAAGCAAGCAAGGTGGTTGGTGGTGCTCATGGAGACTGGGGGGACGTGACGCAGGAGTTGTTTATTCATATATATATTTTTATTTTTTGCCGTGGAGGGATAGTTACGAATATTAAATAACCTAACATAATATTTGAGCCAATTTGCATTGGTTGTTAATTCGACTACACAGGGAGGAGACGTGTGATTATCTGTCTGTGTATCCAGTGTTGTCTTGTCTGGGAGTCTGTGGCACACACTTTGTGCACCCTGACAGTCTGTCTGTCCCAACAGAGCTGGGAGGGCGGAGGGATGGGGGTATGGAATGGGGAGGGAACAGGAAAATTGGGTGATGACAACGGTTTGAAAGGTGATGAGTTAAGGGAGGGCAAATATAGGGTGTGGGATGTATGGGTAGGGATAGTGTCACCCGCCCGCCAGTCTCTGTACCCACATGCCTCACTGCCTACCCAAACCCCCCCAAACTTGCCTCCTCACCCACCTACCCACCGGCCAACCATCAAGCCTATCTGCCTGTCATCCATCCAACCTGCCCGCTTGCCCTGCCCTGACCTACCACCTCACCACCCACCCAGCCACACACAAACTAATTCTAGTGTGTGTGAAAATTCAATTTACATGTGTTGTGGTACAGAAAGAATGTGAATGTTATTTTTTGTACTTCCCCGTAAAAAGCCGGCTAATCCGGATGTGGGATTTTCCATATAGTCCGGATTATTCAAACTAAATATTAACAATCAAAATAAAATAATTGCAAAACTGAAACAAACGAGCCATCACCAGAATTACCTCCACGCTAGTGCTGGAAATCATCAACAAACAAAATATCACCTGCTTCCCTTGGTAAAAAATATTTCAAATCTCTTTAAGGTACAACTTTGAAGTGTTTCTAAGAATCTTGATCTTTGGTGCCGAGGTTCAAAGGTTTGCACCATGCTTGGGGAGTGAATTGGACCAGGTCAAATCAGTTCAACATAGCCCCAAAAGTTAGCCAAACCTTGGTTATAACGAAGTATGTTACAACATCCTAGATGAATACATTATATTTGTCGTTCTCATAATCTTCTTGATATAACTATATACTGTATATTTATATTGTATATATATGTATAAATACGCATAGTTTCTTACTGTACATGAATACATTGTAGAGGACAATAAGTATTTATGATATATATATATATATATATATATATATATATATATATATATATATATATATATATATATATATATATAACACAGTGAGAAGTTCTTAAACAAGTGTAGAAGACACATGATACAAGGACAATAATGAGAGCCAGAGAGTTAACCGTAATACATGACACAGGAGCTGGTGGCATGAACACAGCACAGTTTTAGTAATACTTGCAGGACACATAATGGTGATACAGTAATTACATAGGCTTTAATGATCCAAAGGAGATAGGAGTAATTGATAATAGGACACAAGGAGGATATGTAGAGTTGTGACACAGGAAGAATATGTAGAGTTGTGATACATGGAAGATTATGTAGAGTTGTGACACAGGAAGGATATGTGGAGCTGTGACACAGGAAGATTATGTAGAGTTGTGACACAGGAAGATTATGTAAAGTTGTGACACATGAAGGATATGTAGAGCTGTGACCCACAAACAACATGGGGGATGTCGAGTCCTCTATCACAACATAAACAGATTTGATCATTCCTGTACCGTAATACAGGTCTAGGATATCAAGTTATCTATGGAAGGAGGGAGGGATGGATGGAGGGAGGGAGGAGTATAAAGGAGACCAGCCCGGCTCTCCTTCTCGTGTATCGCTACTTATACTCCATCAATCTCTTCTCCTCCTCCTTCCGTCTTATTCCCAATTTATCTAGTCTTTCTTCTCCTCCTTCTTCTCTTCCTCAGGAGCTTCTCTCTTCGTCGTTGCCTTTGAGAGTTGAAACAACTCACTTGTGGGTTTGAAACTTGATCTGCCAATCATGGGCGAGCTTCCTAAGGGAAATGGGCTATTATTGGGTAGCTTGAAGTTGGATCCACCAATCAAAGAACCGGGAGCCGTTTGAAGTTCCTTTTCGCTGAGGCTGTCCACCAATGAATACACCATAACGTCTGGAAGGGGAAAGGGGGAGACAAATCAGTATTTAATAAAACCAATTTGCAATATCTGTAAATGTTTTTATTATTTTGATTTGTTTCTTAATAAAGTGTTTGAAGGTTCGTGTAATTTGGTTCTGCTCAGCGCTCACCGAGTATCTTTCGTATTTTTATTAGCTTCTCTGTCCTTTCTGTCTCTTTCATTCTCTCTATGTCTCTCTCATTCCATCGTCTTATCCTGTGCCCTCTCTCTCTCTCTCTCTCTCTCTCTCTCTCTCTCTCTCTCTCTCTCTCTCTCTCTCTCTCTCCTTTCCCTTCTCACTCACCTTCTCCTGCTGCTGCTGCATGGTACTTACCGAGAACCTTCTTCTCTACTTCGGGTGTGATGGCTCCTCTGGCCGCCTCCTTCTCTAGCAGCGCCGCCACCTCCTGCAGGGCCTTCTCCGACCCCATGTCTCCCTCTGTAACAGTACACCCATAAGAACTCCACTACGGGCTCACCATAGCCCGTGCTACTTGGATCTTTTAGTTCAAGGTAGCGAATCTTTAACAACAACAACAGTACACCCATCGTTAGCCAGGCCCTCAGGGTCCTCAAGGCCCTCAGGGGCTCTCAAGTCCTTTACGGCCTTCAAGTCCCTCAGGGCCTTCAAGTCCCTCAGGGCTGGCCTTTTCCAGCCACCAATTCCATCAGGTCTTGGTGAACCCTTCCCAGTCAGGTCTGGGGAGAGGCCTTTCAAGCCAACATACAACGTAATCAGATATATATTTAGGATTAAAAACCTGCTACAAAGGTTGTATACGACTACTGATATGTGTTAACGAAGGATTCGAACCCAGCTCGGGGCGACATTTTACCTCTATGCATTGCCTGTTTGAAGAGGATCTTAGCGAGCTGGTAGATGACCTCCTCGAGTGAGTACTCAGTGTAGATGTAGTCATCTCCTCTCAGCTTCTCCAGGATGCCCTCGTAGTCCATCTCAGGATTCAGCATCCCCTCAGCATCTCCCACGTTCATCTCAGTCAGGGAGAGTGCTGTCATGGGAGGGTGGGAGGGGGGGAGCGTGATCAGGACGGAACTGTTAACAGGATGATTGAGGTGTGATTACCTCAGTGTAATTACCTAAGTGTAATTACGTAATTGTAATTACAAGATGAGGGCTGAGCTCGTGGTGTCCAGTCCTTCCGGTATTCTTTGTCTGTCTGTCTGTCTGTCTGTCTGTCTGTCTGTCTGTCTGTCTGTCTGTCTGTCTGTCTTTTTTCACAGTACCGTCTTAGATGTTCTTGTAGAGTGAGCAACTGTAATGTTCCAATCGTCTTTTCAAGGATCGAGCTCAAATCTTTGGGGGTCTTGTTGCAGTCTCTGGGGTCTTGTCCCAGTCCTTGGGGTCTAGATTGTAACCTCGTGAATTATACGAGTTTTGGCCTACAATTTAGACCTATTGTCTTATGTATAATTCTCTGACCTGTGTGGCAGTGAATATAAGCATCATTGCCACTGTAATAAGGCATAATTAAATTAATCAGAGCAGGCAAAATTGTGCATTAATTTCGTCAATAAAGATGTTAATAATTAACCTCGAAGCCTCGCTTGGCAGATACATTGACGCCCCGGTTCGACACCCGCGATTCTTTGTATTTAAATATAACACATTTTCATTTGTAGAAATTAATAGATTATTAATTGACCTCCAACCAATAAGAGCGTAGGAATTATTTCATCTCTTTTTCCTCCCACCAATGAGAAAGCAGGAATTCCTCCTTCATTTTTACCTCTCACCAATAAGAGCGCAGGAATTATTTCTCGACTATTATCTCCCACCAATAACAACGCAGGAATTCTCTAGCCTGGTGTCATCTAATCCATCGCCGTGGTCTCCGCCCTTGACGGGAGAAACCCTACATGGTGGAAGCAATCCCAGGAAATTAGCCCCGTGGGAGGTTGACTTCCTCCTGACCCAAAAACAACGGGTGGAAATGCCGGGCCCTTGTTCGAGGCTCATGAGAACATGGGTCAAGAAGGAGTGTGTGAGGGAAGAAGGGAGGGAAGGAGGGAGGGAAGGAGGGAGGGAAGATAGCCTTTTTTTCTATTTCCCCTCCGCAAGAAAGAAAAAAAAATGCTGTGGTTTAGCTTAACCAAAATCCTGAACAACTAGGCTTCCTCTGCTAGGATAAGCAGAGATTTTTCTCAAGTTATAACTTTAATGTAATATAACTCGTTAGTTTAAAATATACAAAAATTGTTGCTGAAAACATTTTTCTTTGAAAAATTTAGGTTGCTCGAATTCATGGGCACACTCAAATAGTTTTCGAATTCCATATTTCACTTTATCGTCAATCGTATTAACGTAACCAAATGTTATGAAACCTAAACAAACTTTAACTGATATTAACCTAAACCCTAACCTAACCTAACCTAACCTAACCTAACCATGGACAGTAATAGCACAAAATATGTAGTCGCAGTTATGTAAATTTCTCCTCCTTGAGGACAGGTTGAAGGACAGTGAACACACATATAGTGTTAGTAATGTTTGTATACTTTACACATATATATATATTTGTGTATCTTTTGCAGTGTAGTGTATAGTGCTGACGTCATTATGGATATGGCCGCTTTCAGAGTCACAGTGGGGTGATGTAAGTACATATAGGTGAGTATAAACACACACACACACACACACACACACACACACACACACACACACACACACATCCCCCCCCACACACACACACTCACACCCTCACCCCCCCCCACACACACACACACATAACCCCCCCCCACACACACACACACTCACACCCCCCCCCCCACACACACAAATCAATACCAAAACAACAAACGCAAACTCACGCGGTCCATTCTTCTTGGCGAGAACCTTGAATTCGCTCTGAGGATCCTGAGGGTGGAAAATATGAGAGGAACATTGAATGTCAGCCGCTGTCAACAAGTCTCCCCAAGCCTGGGTCCTCCTACCCGTCAGCCACACCCCCCCCCACACCCCACTACACACCACCCCTACACCACAACACACCCCTCCACACCACTAACCCATCCCCCCCCCCACACCACTAACAGCCCTAACAACCCAACCACCTGCAACACCATCACAGTGATCGTTGCCTCACAACAAGGGAACACGAATTCCCCGGGCGGGGACAGAACCGGTTGGGCACATTTCCTTTCACCTGATGCCTTTCTTCACCCGGGAGTTATAGGATTAATCTCTGTGTCCTCCAATATATGCCTCACTCCCTCTCCAATATGACCATCACATCTCCTCCAATACATCCCTCCTCCCCCTCCCCTGCTATCTCCTATAAATCCCTCCTCCCCCCCCCCTGCTATCTCCTCATATAAGCTTTTATAATGACGTTAAGTGAACTTCAAGTTTCTAGCTAAGTTCCCCCATGTCTGCTGCTTCTTTAACTCTACTTCAGGCAAAATTGAGGCACAAACTTGCTACAAAGTTTGGGGTAAGTTGGTTTGTTGAGAGATGAGAAAATAAACATCACTAATATATATATATATATATATATATATATATATATATATATATATATATATATATATATATATATATATATATATATATATAAAAGTTTCCTCTCCTATCCTATCCCTTGGGACATCCCTTGTCCCGTCCTATCCTGCCCCCCTGGGACCTATTGCCTCTCCTCAGGTCTCCCTCTGTAACAGTACACCCATCGTTAGCCAGGCCCTCAGGGTCCTCAAGGCCCTGAGGGGCTCTCTAGGCCCTCAGGGGCCCTCAAGTCCCTTAGGGCCTTCAAGGCCTTCAGGGCTGCCCTTTTCCAGTCCTCCTGGTGGGATAGGAGCAACAGCAAGGGGACTCACCTTGTCATCTTGGCCCTCCTGTTGGGTCAGATAGGTTAGGTGTTCTCTGATATCGTGAAGATAGCTCAGGGCCTCGTCAGCCGTCATCTGTAAGGGCAAGGGGGAATGCTTGTTAGATATCCTACTTACACTCCAGGTGTGTGTGTGTGTAATTACCTAAGTGTAGTTACAGGATGAGAGCTACGCTCGTGGTGTCCCGTCTTCCCAGCACTCTTTGTCATATAACGCTTTGAAACTACTGCTACTAGTGTGTGTGTGTGTGTGTGTGTGTGTGTGTGTGTGTGTGTGTGTGTGTGTGTGTGTGTGTGTGTGTGTGTGTGTGTGTGTGTGTGTGTGTGTGGTCAAGTTTCAGATTATTTCTAATTCTCTCAATCAAATGCAAATGCCTTTAGAGGTTGCTAAATCTCAGTCTATTAAAATAATTATTTCAATCCCTTGCAATAATTAAAATTATTTAAACGAGAACATATACATATTTTTCTAAGATGATTCACCCTGTAGTATGGTCATACACCCTGCAGTATGCTGATACACCCTGTAGTAATAATACATCCTGCAGTATGACACCACACACACTACAACATGGCACCACACCCATCTGGTACATCATACACCTTTCTGTATGATAATAGTACAAATATACATTTTACAGAATGATTCATACATTATTCCATGATCCCGAACGTAGGTAGATTAACCTCAGTCAGTACACACGGGAATCGAACTAACGTCATGCATATGAGATAATTAATGGAGTAAGACGAGGATCGAACCAGCGCCCCGTTTGTTCTCAGCCTCCCAGCCACAAGGACAGACAGACAGACACCCCAGAGTCCGTCATCTACACTGAGGCCGTAATTTATTAAACAATTTAATTAATTTAGAATTTACATTATTTTATTTTGACGCAAAAAGTGTCCTATACAGCCCAGTGGTCTTCGTTCTGAGTTCACAATCGTAGGGGGCAAGACAGATTCAGTTTAGGGTGAATCCGAGGCTACGAAGGGGGCTACGAGGGGGGCCTCGTAGCCTGGTGGATAGCGCGCAGGACTCGTAATTCTGTGGCGCTGGTTCGATTCCCGCACGAGGCAGAAACAAATGGGCAAAGTTTCTTTCATCCTGAATGCCCCTGTTACCTAGCAGTAAATAGGTACCTGGGTGTTAGTCAGCTGTCACGGGCTGCTTCCTGGGGGTGGAGGCCTGGTCTAGGACCGGGCCGCGGGGACACTAAAAAGCCCCGAAATCATCTCAAGATAACCTCAGGATAGGGTGCTTTTCATTTCACCTGATGCCTCTGTTCACCAAGCAGTATAGTTGGGATAAAAGGGGGGGGGGACGTAGTTGAGCCTATATATAGGCTTATTTCTCCTCCCGTCATCTGTTCGAATTCGGTCGAATTCGAATGTTCGAATTCGGTCGAATTCGACATCTGTTCCCCCCTTGCTTAGGTGAATTCTGAACCTTTATCTCACTTGGGTACCTCACCTACCTCACTTCTGCCTCACCTGGGTACCTCACGTGCCTCTCCAGTAATTGGCTCCAGAAACTAAGGGTCTGGACACCCCAAGTTGAGAAGGCAGTTGGGTGGTAGTTAGCAGTTAGTGCTTGGTAGAACTATCTCTCGATTTCTAGGGGGGTCTGGAAGCGACTCTGAACCCCCTACAAGCTCCACATGGAGGGGATTGTCTCAATTGGTTTCTGAGTGTCTGAGCCAGCTTCTGACTGTCTTAGACAGGTTCTGAGTGTCTGAGCTAGCTTCTGAGTGTTTTAGACAGGTTCTGAGTGTCTTAGCCAGCACCTGAGTGTCTCAGCCAGCACCTGAGTGTCTCAGCCAGTTTCTAAGTGTCTCAGCCAGCACCTGAGTGTCTCAGCACACCCTGAGTGCCTCAGCACACCCTGAGTGCCTCAACACACCCTGAGTGCCTCAACACACCCTGAGTGCCTCAACACACCCTGAGTGCCTCAACACACCCTGAGTGCCTCAACACACCCTGAGTGCCTCAACACACCCTGAGTGCCCCAACACACCCTGAGTGCCTCAACACACCCTGAGTGCCTCAACACACCCTGAGTGCCTCAACACACCCTGAGTGCCTCAACACACCCTGAGTGCCTCAACACACCCTGAGTGCCTCAACACACCCTGAGTGCCTCAACACACCCTGAGTGCCTCAACACACCCTGAGTGCCTCAACACACCCTGAGTGTCTCAACACACCCTGAGTGCCTCAACACACCCTGAGTGCCTCAACACACCCTGAGTGCCTCAACACACTCTGCAGCACAATATACTCACCAAGCCTTCGGCAATCAGCTCCTGAATGGCGAGTGTGACTCCCTCTTCGTCTCCTGTCTTATACACGTATAGGGCCAGGTCCAGTGGAGTGTACCGCACGTGGGGGTTCTGTGTATACCAGGTTATACATGAGTATACATGAGAGATACATAGCACAATATACAGGAGGATGTGTATGTAAGATTCAGTGACGGTATACAGGAGATAATGTGGCATTGTATACATAAAATACAGTGATAAGAGTATACATTATATACATAGTACCATACAGTATTATCAAGTACGTCAAAAGAGCATACATACAAACTATAATGACCATAATACATAATACGCATGAAACAATATATATATACATAACTACACATATACAATATACACATACCTACACACATATACAACATACACATGACTATACATATACAACATAACAACCACGACTGTATACCCATAACCCATTTAACCTCAAAAATATATACAATAGGCCTACACATACACAATATACACATACCTACACATATACAATATACACGTGACTATACATATACAACATACACATGACTACGACTGAATACCCATAACCCATTTAACCTAAAAAAAATATACATTAGGCCTATGCGAACTCATACAGGAAATGACCCAATTGGCCCAATTAACATAAATTATTAATTAACACAATTATGTTCATTACTAAACAATTGGTAATTCACAGCCCGTTTTCTCTGTTTCCAAAAACGTGCAAAATGCGACTGTTTTGCCTGATCAGAAGCGTGCACAACCCCAGCAACCCACCTAACCCATCGAGGCTGATGCGTAGAAAACGTGATTTTTCACGTGAGAGAGAGAGAGAGAGAGAGAGAGAGAGAGAGAGAGAGAGAGAGAGAGAGAGAGAGAGAGAGAGAGAGAGAGAGAGAGAGAGAGAGAGAGAGAGTCTTCATATTTAACATTTGACAAGATATCTTTTCCCACACAAAACAACAGTTAAAGATAACAATAAACAAGATATCTCCTTCAACTTCTCTCTCTCTCTGTCCAACCACTTTGGCTGGTCGGTAGAGCGACGGTCTCACTTCATGCAGGTCGGCGTTCAATCCCCGACCGTCCACACAAGTGGTTGGGGCACCATTCCTTCCCTCCCTCCATCCCAAATCCTTATCCTGACCCTTTCCCAGTGTTATATAGTCGTAATGGCTTGGCGCTTTCCCCTCCCTGACAATTCCCTTCCCTCTCCACCGACTTCAAACATATCTTGGTGTAGAAAAATCATAATGTAGAAGAGGAGATACAGAGATAACCTTGGCCCTTTGAAGACTGACATCCAGAGAGAGACTTTGAAGCTGACTTGATCTGTCTGTCTGTCTGTCTGTCTGTCTGTCTGTCTGTCTGTCTGTCTGTCTGTCTGTCTGTCTGTCTGTGTCTCTTTCCCTTCCCTCTTGACATAGCTCTCTCCCTGTAATCCCCAATTCCATGCTAACGTCAACGGGATTTAGAGACAGAGAGAGGGAGAGGATAGCAGGGGAAAGAGGAAGAGAAGTGGACAGGAGGAGGAGGAGGAGGAGGACAGAGGACCAAAAACAATGGAAGGAGAAAGTTCTGGAAGTGGAAATCTGGCGCCAACGTGACAATGTCTCTAATGTCTCAGTGACCCATTTGGGTGTTCTCAACTGCCACCTGTGTCCCCTTGTGGGCGTGTACCGCCCCTTGTTAAATAATCCATCCTTGTCTATCCCTGTCAATTCCCTCCTGAGAATTTTATATGTGGTGATCATGTCTTCCCGGGCTCTTCTGTCTTCCAGCGACGTGAGGTGCAGTTCACGCAGTTCCTGTCCTCAGAACTCATGCCTCTTAGGTGTGTGTGTGTGTGTGTGTGTGTGTGTGTGTGTGTGTGTGTGTGTGTGTGTGTGTGTGTGTGTGTGTGTGTGTGTGTGTGTGTATGTTTGTGTGTATAAAGAGGACATGATCCATACATAACAGATGACAGATGTAATGAGTCTATTGACCTTCGCTTGCTCGTTAAAAATCTAATTATAAATTTGCATACAGTAATTACCACGAACTCAATAATACATCTACACAAGTATACATCTTTTCTTCCTCAACAGCTCTATCTCCCTCTACACCACTACTCCTTTTATCCCCTTGTAGCGAGGGGCCCAGGGGCGAGCCTCAGGACTGGTCCCAGCAGTGAGAGGTACAAGTTACGAGGAAACGCTACATGAATTAAACCTCACGTCGTTGGAAAAGAGACGAGTTTGAGGGAGACATGATTAGGATAACCTTCCTTATGTAGGAAGCACACAAGGGCGGCTCCTGGGGGACATATGTGTGTGTGTGTGTGTGTGTGTGTGTGTGTGTGTGTGTGTGTGTGTGTGTGTGTGTGTGTGTGTGTGTGTGTGTGTGTGTGTGTGTGTGTGCGCGCAATATCAACATATTCTTCAAAGGTTCTTGACAAAGTCATCACGCCTTCTCACCCCTCCCCCGAGATAGCAGAGTCTTCCTCCACCTCTATGATATCATGATATATCGTTCCTTGGGGACTCCGCTCAGAGGGAGAGAGAGAGGGGATAAACGTAAATAGGAGGAAAAGAAGGGAAAGGGGGCTGCTGGGAAGGAAATGATCAGGCGGAAGACGATGTACACATCGGACATGAGACTTGGAGGAACAGATGCAAACTGCTCCATTGGTTCCCAGGGCGTGAGAGTTGAGACCTGTCGAACACTTTGGAGCACCACTGCACACTGTGGAACACCCCGGAGCACCACTGGACACTGTGGAACACTCCGGAGCACCACTGGACACTGTGGAACACTCCGGAGCACCACTGGACACTGTGGAACACTCTGGAGCACCACTGGACACTGTCTGGAGCACACTGGACCTGTGGAACACTCTGGAGCACCACTGGACACTGTGGAACACCCCGGAGCACCACTGGACACTGTGGAACACTCTGGAGCACCACTGGACACTGTGGAACACCCCGGAGCACCACTGGACACTGTGGAACACCCCGGAGCACCACTGGACACTGTGGAACACTCCGGAGCACCACTGGACACTGTGGAACACTCTGGAGCACCACTGGAGTCCTACAAGTGTTGCCAGGCTCGACAAGGTCTGGCGGGCATTGGAGGGGGGACTAATGCCGTCAGCTCAGGCATCATCCTACCCCCAAGTGAGCTTCCATATATATGATCTCCACGAATATAACACAGTGTGTGTGTATGCGTGCGTGTGTGTGTGTGTGTGTGTGTGTGTGTGTGTGTGTGTGTGTGTGTGTGTGTGTGTGTGTGTGTGTCGCGACGGATTTTAGATCAATGATTCTAATACGTTACTGTGTCGATTTCTTAAGTTTGTCCTCATTTTAGAAGTTCATTTTCTATGTTAATTCCATTCTCTTTTTTTTTTAAGCCCTGATTGGTTTCACTAAGACACAACTTAGCATCTTCAGAGGCAGAATCGAGTTCAGCAACTCGTTTTCCCTAAAATTACAATACCATTTGATACAATACACGTACATACTGATTGACAAGTTATCCTGAGTGGCGCAGCGCTAAGTTACAGGGTCATAGAGTACCAAGTTGGCGCCCATCAGCACCTGCTGGGCTAAGCAGATTGCGGACTTATCAATAACCTGATTATCTTAAAGGGAGGTAGTTAAGACGTTATTACAGCTGGTCGGTTAAGTTTAATATTATGAATGGTAAACATTACACTGTTTTATAGCGAATTGTAAAGTACGGTAACACGTTAATTGTATTGTTGATATTGTATGTGCACGCGCGCGTTCACGCACACACACATGCATGCACGCGCACACACACACACACACACACACACATGCACGCACACACACACACACGTCATTATCCGAACAACGAAGGCTTAACACCCTCTCACTATATATATATAATTTAATTACTGCCTCTACCAATCAGAAGATGCTCCAGATTACCTCCACCAATCAGCATGGCGCGCTATTTATCAATCTCCACCAATCAGAGTAGTGAAGCAGGATGCCACATCTACCCCCCCCCCACCCCATCCACCCCCCCTTTACCGGACAGCCATGGCACTCCCTCAAACACCCGTAACGACCCAACCATTACTGAATATAATTGCACGATTAGCAGCTAATTACGATGATTAGTGATCCACTGAAGATTTAATGGGTAGTAATTATTATGTACGCGGCAACACTGCCCAGGGTGTTGTAGGGGCAATTTTATTTATGTATTGAAATTACAGGGACGTAATGTTGAGAGCTTCAAGGTGCAAATAGGTGTGAATTCACCTATTTTGTCCCCGCAGGATCAGGTTATTAGCTCCTGGACCCCGCCTTTCTAGCTGGCGGTTATCTAATACACATTGAAACGTATACTAATGGAAGGAATTGATGTAGAAGATACTATAGTTTGGCCAGCAACCAGCTCTCTGTGTGAGAGAGAACTGGATAAGCACCTCCAAAGGATACCTGATCAACCAGGCTGTGACTCATACGTCAGGCTGCGAGCAGCCGCGTTCAACAGCCTGGTTGATCAGTCCGGCAACCAGGAGGCCTGGTCGACGACCGGGCCGCGGGGACGCTAAGCCCCGGAAGCACCTCAAGGTAACCTCAAGATAAGGTAGCCGCTGTCAATGTGCAAGCTACTTACGTAATTACCGTTGCAATCGTTCATTTTGCTCTTTAATCACCAATTACGTATATTTATATACTTGATTTAAGTGAATGTTTTCATGATGTCTTCAACAAAACCGTTGTTGGTTTCAGAGACATCATAAGAAGTCTCCGTGGTGTAGTGGTAAGACACTCGCCTGGCGTTCCGCGAGCGCTTTGTCATGGGTTCGTATCCTGGCCGGGGAGGATTTACTGGGCGCAATTCCTTAACTGTAGCCTCTGTTTAACGCAACAGTAAAATGTGTACTTGGATGAAAAAACGATTCTTCGCGGCAGGGGATCGTATTCCAGGGACCATAGGATTAAGGACTTGCCCGAAACGCTACGCGTACTAGTGGCTGTACAAGAATGTAACAACTCTTGTATATATCTCAAAAAAAAAAAAAAAAAAAAAGAAGGAAGGTGAAACGCCATGCAACCTCTGAAGAGTCA